ATTTTAACCTGTTTAATTTTGCTCTTTTTATACATACATATTACCGTAAAATTCGAAAGTACTTACTTTTAAGTGTGGAACTGTTAGATGGAAATAAAAATAAACACTGTTTGTAACCTAAGTTAGTTTGATATTAATAAAACCTATAGCTTCCTTTTCGCTGTCCATTGATATATTTTTGTGCATTTTACCTTAACAACATCTTGACTGGATTTTTTGTCTTCTGAAGGTGCTTTCGTAGGTTGGTCTCCAACAAAACCTCCATTGGTTTGACTCTGAAAACACAAAGCATTGATACGTTAAATGAAAACCTTATATTAATAAAACAATATTCGACTTTCAGTAAAAGAAAACAGAAGCATCGAATCTCTACTATACTCGTATAAATACAGAAGTTTACTCTATATCAAACACTAAAATCAAGAAATAGTAAATCGATAAGCAAAAACATCCTAACGATTCCAAATTTAACCAATGCTATTAAATCTGTGAAAAGTCGGACTGTTTGTTATCCCAAAAAAAGTTTTGATTTTTGACAATTCAATGTAGAGTCGTTGTGTACCATGGTTGCTCATATCTACATATTTGGCTTGATCTATATCTTATAATATCTTAATTATAAGAGATGTTTTCAGATAATATAGATCAAGACTGATTTTAGTAATCACTCTTGATTGAAAAGATTAGAAACGCATGAAAGTCCATCATTTTCAGACATCAAAATGCGATATTTTGCGGCGGTTTTTATTTAGTTTTAAGAAAGTGCGCAACTTCTAAAGTGGATTTGTTATGATAAAAATTTGGAAGATCGCTTGTCGTTGATCGTAATAATTTAATTTGTAAATTAAAATATTTACTATTTAATAATTTAAGTATTGTCCTATCAAAATTTTACATGTTACATTATTTATAACTTTAACTACACTAGCTGACCCAGCAAATGTAGGATTCTAATGGTGATAGAATTTTATAAATCGATACAGTAGTTATTTTATTTACAGTAATTTAGATAACCGTTATATCGAAAAAGAATTTGGGATCAGGCTTGATTTTTTCAGCTTAATAGGTACCATCACATATACAATCTTAAACATACACTAGCTGTAACATTTATGGTATAACGACGATTCAACCGATTCATTCCTGCAAAATACCTACCTAGTTAAAAATATCGAGTTATAAATAATTATGCCTATCTAAAATACGAGAAAAAACATTTGTATGAAAAAATCTAAACCGCGTAAGATAGATGAAGGGGGTAAAACGGGATCCACGCGTACGAAGTCGCGGGCGGCCGCTAGTCTAAAATATTTCAATAATATTAACTTAACTTCAAATAAATAAACAGTTCACAATTGTAACTACCACAAGTCAACGACGTCGTTATCGTACGCATCCGTTGTGCAAAAACATTTTGAGACCGCGAAGGGTACCTAATTAATTATTAAATAAAAAAACAACCACATTTTTTCTCTGTTTGTAAATCCAATAAGTGGTAGAGGTAATGAACACAGTAACACAAGATCATTTCATATAATCCTCTCACCATTTTGTATCACTTTGTCACTTCAGTCTTTTAACGAGGTCTCAAAACAATTGACTATCACTTAATTATGCATAACTATACCGCACTACCAAGGCTGGCTGGTCTTAAGCAAGACTAAGTCACGCTCAGCAGGCGATTGAGAGCTCACGTAGTATCTGCACGGGTTTTATATAAAATACTATCGGCCGCAAGCCAACGTCCGTCTGCGGCTATGGATTCTTTTCATATCTATCTATCCAACCATCGCCCGTGGCTTTGTCCACATTCCAAACAAGATAATTGAACAATTTGCCTGAGTCTCTACCGACTTGCTAAAGGTAAGCCTCTTACTTATATAAGTGAGAGGATAAGTTGAACTATTAGTTTAGATTTCGTACTACATACTACTCGCGCTTGGATTGTCTTCCTATCACCACATACGCTACAAAATATTTCACTTCACTTCAAATATTACAATAACATTTACAGCAACATTTTAAAGTAAACAAAAGAAAAATACTTATTCATATTTGCAGCCGTAACTTATCTCACAGAGGTGCATGTAGCCGCACTTGAGGAGGCATTGACAGAGATTGAGGCAGGCTGGCGGTTGGTCAGTGCTGTGTCGCAATCTGAATGTCAAGATCATCGATGCGCCTGCGGCGTTCACTCTCGTAACTTTTAGTTGGTGCTGGTGATTAGTATGGTTTCACCTTACGCGCAAAAATATTTAAACGAACCAAAATTTGCCAATTATCTTTTGTTTAACAAGTACCTAAATACTTCCCGACAAATAATACTGTGATATAGAACCAGTAAACATCACACCCAACCTTAACTGATACAAGAAGTCTTATCTTAAAAGATTTTTTTTTCTTTAACATTATCCTTATTAAATCGTTGTCCCTGTGAAAGGAGTATAGTTTTTTCATTGGTTACTCGGTCCACCATATCGATAACCAAGTACTCCTTACGGTTGCTTTGTTGTTTTTCTTTAATACGAGTAACAAAACAAAAGTGTTAATGCACTTATTTCATTCACTTTTACATACCATGCATGTGACACGTTTGTCCGCCTTATGTTATGGTAATTTGCACGCATTGATACCACCTGTTGCATGTTATTCAGTTGTACTGTTGACTAAAATTGCCATTTACATCACTCATTCTGGTAGGTACATATAAAGAATCCAAGTACCTACCTATGATTAGACTCATTAAATGCAAATTAAGAGACTTCATGAATGAACCTTTTGCGCTCAATGTCGTTGTGTTTATTTCATTTGTCTGTAATTGAACATCGTTTTTCAGAGGTGATTTATCAATGAAACAGCTCGTATCTTTAATGAAACGGAAATCCTTAATCGAAAATATGTTTTTTAAAGTAGTCAAATGTAACTAACAAATACTAAATACTTTATAAGCTGCCGATTAATTAACACCACTCGTTACTAATCTCTCACTTAATATTTTAACTCTTATGTTATCTAATAAACGTTAATCCCGATATAGCAACAACGCGGCGAATGTATTGAAATCTTTGTGTTGTATTATTTTAAGGTAACTAACCAAACAAGTTGTTTCTAAAAATATAATATTAAGGTTAAAAGCATAAGGAACATGCAAGGTCATTGACTTACAAAATCAAATGAGTCGCGTCGATAGGCAGATAGTGATTTGCCATTCACTAAATGGGTCCGTTACTAAAACTTACTTATTAAATTGTCTGAATGCAGCGAGTTGAGCGACTCTGAGCGGCTAAAACGCGGAGATGCTGGTCTGCGGGGCGCCTATATCACTCTGTCAGCAGTAGGCCTTCGGCATGATAACGTTTTATTAACCGCCTTTGGGCAGCAGCGCTCTCTGAAAAACATCAATCTTTTAAACTGCGATCTCCAACCCGCCTGCCTAGCGTGGAGATTATGGCAAAACCCTCCACTATAGTGGAGGAGGCTCATAGTCCAGCAGTGGACTGTAAAGGGCTGTTGATGAACCGCCTTTGTGGTCTAGTGGTAAGACCACCTGCTTCAGACGCAGAGATCCCGGGTTCGATTCCCAGTGGGGGCAGATTTTTCTGTTCGGTTTGGTTGGTGGTAGGGCTTGTTCTAAGTCCGCCTAGCTAAATACCACCATCTTACCTGTCTCTCGCCATAACAACAATGTTAACAGCATTGTTGTGTTCCAGCAGTTAGAGGTAAGATAACGGGACTATTCCCACCTCTCGTTCCCACCACTGCAACTCCTGTGTAGTTAGAGGTAGATAAGATAGCCAGTTCCTCTGTGATTGAGGATTCCGGGTAAAGCTCGCTTCCACCTTCGGCCTGATCATCACTTACCATCAGGTGAGATACAGGCCAAGAGTTTCCTCGTTGTGGATAAAAAAAACGGAGTCTTGACCTGCATCTGATGGAAACTGACGATCAGGCAACCTAAAATTCTTAGCTAGAGAAACTCTGGCTATCTTAGCGGCAACTGGCGATACATAACAAAGCCGTTAAGTGTTGATATTGATTAGCTAGCGCGGACTTAAATAGCTTTAAATTATCTGTAAATCGAACCCGGGATCTCTAGGTCCGAGATTAGACCCTGCCACAGAGGCCGTTACCAAACTGGTTTACAAGACTTCAAATTATTAACTTTTACCTATGATGGAAAATGTATCGATATCTACATTTCTTAATAAAAATTGCGGACGATAAAAAATAAACGTTTATTTCCTAGTATGCTTTATGCCTTTTATATCTACCACTGATAAATGAATTTAATTGTATTTTTTATTACTTATGCCTTTTTGAGAAACGATATACTTACTTTGGATGTTTGTCTACTATCTACTTGTCACATCTTGTACATCAATCATCATAGTGGTTGATGCATGCATTATGCTGTAAATAAGACAGACCTAAGGTATTTTTTATTCTTAAATCGATAAAAATCTTAACAGAAAATCTTTATTTCTATTATAAATAGTAATTGTAATACTTACTACAATACTTATTACAAGAAATATGTAGTGGGTGAAAACATTTTAAAAAAACCTCACAGAAACAGAGGTAAAGTCTGAACGTCATATCACGTGTACACGATAAAAAATATTACGTCCCTGAATATACCTATTATTTTGTAAAATTGATAAATTAGCAAATCTTTATTACTGGGACTGTACTTTTATGTTTAGCAATAAATAAAATGTTTGAAGTTACGGTCTATCTGTAACGTTTTGACATCTAAATGCTGAACTGATTGGCATGGATTTTGTAATAGATAAAACATTGAATAAGTGTATTTAATAATTAATTGTTATTAAATCCATAAAAACGTAATATTGATCGGAAGTATTAGTTAACTCTTGATTTCGGTAATTATGAGATTCAGTTAATTTCATACGCAAAAGTTGAAGAAAATTTCAGAACTTAGGATACTTCTCAAATTAATATTCTAAGAAAACACATATGAATAAAATAACGAAATTTATTTCAATACCATAATTAAGAGATATCACAAATTAATAATATTATTAAACAGGTTTCTAATCTCATAAACCACACAGAAACCTCAATTAGGTTCTTCTTTACCAAACACAACAAAACAAAGTTGACTGGTTTGATGTAACAAACAAAACAGTGTTTGTTGCAGAAACTGTAGCAAGGATATTTATTAGTAAAATGAACCTACGTTTAGAAACAAATTCTCGTGAATGTACTAATGTTACAAGTAAATAGCCAAAGTGGGGGCAAAACACATTGTCTAACTAAATAAACGTGAAGATTTAACTAGCACGTCACTTTACTGATTACGTAGTAATCCTTATTTATTGCGGGTATTAAGTTTGTCAGTGACACGCGAGTTACCTTGTTATCAGCAAAATCGATGGTCCGAATCCTATAAAGATAATTTTCACATATCTAGCTACGGCATAGTATTAAAAACAACACCATTTGTGATTCATGCTCATAACGTCTTGAAGCTCACTGAAGAACACACTCCGATGTTCAACAAAATCTTTGATACTAAATGCCAATACATACGCTTAATTTTATGAATGTGGTTTATTTATGAAGAAAACTGCTAATCGAGTAATAATAATTAGATAAATGTTACAATAAGTTGAACGTATTCTTGTGGCGGTGTTAGTTCTTTTGAGAGTGACAGCGGGCGGGCCCAGCGGTTCGACGCTCTGCAGCAGTAGGGTGTCCATGGCTGCGTACGCCTCGTGTACCACTCGCTGTAACAAAACCCACCATTTAATCCTGAGTACTGATAATTTAGCTGTGCCCGCCTGGAGAATTTCAGGGTCTTTTTGCCCGTGGTACCTACTACTTGGTATGTGGTAGAACCATGAAAAAAAATGCTGTAGTATGTATCTCAGGCAGTCGGACATCACACAATAGAAAGTAAAGAAATGTTTATCCCGCGAAAGTTGAATCGATGGTAGTACGAGCCACATCGATTAAAGCAATGGTCCGCACAGTTTCACATAGTATAGTTCACGTAATAAACTAATCAAAATACCTCTGTGATAAGTTTGGAGTTGTAAGAATCCGTCGGTCGGAACATCATGATAGTGTAGGTGTTGTCTATGCCCAGGTGACCATCGACCCAGTCCTCAATGCCGCCTGCATACAACGCTGTAGACAAAACAATACGATATCTTATCTGACATCTAGGCGACAATCTACATACCAAGTAAATTGCAATACGCATAAATTCTATTAACTGATAAACGAGGTTTTTCCCGAAAACTTAAAACTTTAGGTAGAGATCCAAAGTTCATCTAAATCTACGCTTAGTTAAAACAAAATAAGTCATACGCAAAAATTCCGAAGTCTGTCCAGCTACATACGGCCGCCCACTAATACTGTATGCAGCCGAAGCAGCTCGTGAAGCTCGTTGTCTCTGGAAATACAATTATAAGGTAAAGAAATGAGCTATAAATTAAGACATGCCTAAATAAAGTAATAACATTATAGTGTATCGCAGTTTACACAAACTTGGTAATGACAATGAACCATTCCCTTTTTATTCAATAGATATTTGGTACGTATAAAATAGTATTTGTTGAATGTGTTTTAGATAATAGAGCTTTAAAAAAACTTACGTATACGTGATCAAAAGCTCGAAGCTTTCTGGTATGTGAGTAGGGATACATGACGCCCTGAAAACATTTTGAATTGAGTCAGTTAATTCTACAACTATTGTGAGTAGTAACAGTAGCTGTAATAGTAATTTTGAAGTGAATGCGTTTATTATCAATACATTGCCTAGTGATTTTAAAATAATACAAAAGTATGCAATTGGTTTTTCTATCTATATATATTCTATCTTGCGGAGTTTCAATCAAAACGATAAAATAATACTTTTATCGAAATTACTGTTTTTGTAGAAAAAATAAGTGGCTTAACAATTGAGAAAACTTGAGACTAGGTACTGCTATAATCAGGATGGCTTTATTGCTGCTTGATTTTTTAATGAATAAGAGGGTAAAATGTCATGCTAACAAGAACTTCTCCCTCCTTGAACGCGACGAATGTGAATAGAGGAGTGCGCTGTTCGTGGAGGTAATGTGTGAGCGCCCACGTCTCCGCTTCGCTCAGCTGGCGTGCGCCCGCGTGTAGCGACCCGCACGGGTGCTCGGCGCGAAGCTCCTCCGCTGAAAACCGAAGCAGTGACCTAATCAGCTACGACGTCAACGGCTAGCACGAAAAACTTTCGAGTTCAAATTGTTTGCGTACTCGAATCGCCATCAAAATATTTAGTACGAAAACTACAACAGCGCCCTTGTGAAATTGCACGAAACTTATTTTGAGAATCAAAATTGTCAGGTTATCGTTTAATTCGAAGGTTGAGTATCGAATTTTATCTAATACGCAAACGATTCAAAGACGAAAGTTGTTCATGCTAGAGGTACTGAGGTCGTGTGAAGACACGACGTACGAAGTTACGCAGATGTCATTGATGGTCACCCTAACATTTAAAAGAACATTCAATACCTTAGGATATGCTTTAACAACTCTGTGCTGTAGGTACTGAATATAAACTATGAACAAGTAGAAGATACTACAATAGTTAATCGATGTAAAGATATCAATCTTGCAATAAAGTCTATCAAATATTATCAAGAATCAAATTCTGACTAATCACGATTAGGTTATTGTTTGAAACCAAGAGTAATAAAACAAGCAATAAAGAAAGTAATAAACAATAAAGAATTTGTCTTTGATGTCGCTTTAGCTAATTGGCGCGAGACGCAATAATTATATCCAATAGTTTAACGGATTTTTCAATAGGAACCTATGTACTTCTGAGTGTCAATCGCAGAATATTTTGTAGCCGTTTTTCAGATTTATCTAAAGTCTAATACGCTTTCCTCTTTCAGGAAATTCAGTTTCAGGATTCTATTGCACATTAGGTATATTTAAATAATGGAACTTTTCTTAGCAAAATAAAATAGAAGAACTAAGTCTACCTGGGATCCACTGGTATTCAAAATTCCTGTCGAGGTTGACACCGTAGCATGGTTGAACGGTGCACCGAAGACCGTATAACTCGCAAGTCGTGCATGAGTCACGAGTCTTGCAAATATCCCAGTTTTGACGCAAGTTTTTTGACCATTCCCTTCGCTTTAAAAATACACAAATAACAAACATTGAAATTGCATAATTGTACTTACTTTCGACAGCACTCTACCTACCACTTATAATTATATATTTATTTATTTAAATAGGTGCATTTTTTTTATATATGTATAATTTATGTATGATGTGCTGGCGATTGTACAATATCAGATATCAATCAATAAATGACATTTTGAAGGTTACATACATGAGGAAATGTCATTGAATAGTCATATCCATCAGGATTAAAGACCGGAATGATCCAGAAACGATATTTGGTGAGCAGGTCCGAATGAGCTTCACTGCGCTCTATCAGCTGATAAAGCACGTACATGGCTGCTGCCACTGCGTGATGATCTCGTCCTTGGATTCCTAGAACATCAGGACACCATGAGAATTACGTCTAACGTGGCTTAAAAGTATAGTTCGTGTTTACTTTGTAACATAATTTAACTAATAACATAAACAATTTTAAAGCATACCGTTTGTCTTGGGACATAGAAGATGGAGCTTTGAGCAAAACTGAGTTTTGTAAACAACACAAAGCAATAACATACCCGCAATAATCATTACAGTTTTTTTAGCTGAAACTATTTGACCGCTGCTAGGATCATCCACGATCATCATGTATATAGGATTTTCCATTGTAGTAAGGTTGCCACTTGTGATGTCTTCCCACTTCGCCAGAGGACTGGTTTCAGCCCATTGTTTTAGTTGTGCTACTATCTATTACAATAATTAGAAATGAAATGATACGTAAAATATGTAATGAAAAAAGTGTAAAAATAATCTAATAAAATACCTCTGGTAGAGTTCGAGGTGAATTAAAATTTAATTGTCGTAATTTAAGCAGATTACAAATTGGTCTCCGTTTTCCTCTAACTTTTTCTTTAGATAATACTTGTGCAGTAGATGATTCTGCAGCAGGTTGTGTATTATCTGGTATGAATGAGCTTCTGTAAGTTACATTCGTTTCGTCAAAATTATTATTTTCTGTTCCTGTAACAGCCTCTGATTCACTTGTGAATACTGTATTAGTCAGTGTTAACTCTTTTTCAGTTGTACTATCTGGCTCTTCTTGGCTTTTATTTCTTTCGTCGTAATTATCTGCTTGGTCTTGTTCATCTTTTTTGCTTGTGCTTTCAATATCTTCATCGTTATAAAACATCATATTATAAGCAGAGTCCGGATCTTTATCATTCTTTTCCAGAGCTTTTTCAACTTTTCTTCGAGATTCCACATCTGTTTGTTTATTATTGTCATAACTGGTTTCAGTACGAATTGTGATTTCATTGTCTTCATCAACAGGAGCATATGTGGTAGAAGTTCGAACAGGATGAAAAGTACTTCTTGTTACCAAAACATCAGAACTAATATCTTTAAAAAAATTGTGTAAAGCTTTATATTCGTTAGGGGTGTGTTCTGTTCTTGTAGGCCATATTATATCTGTTAATACGGAGGTTCTCGTTGGGTATGTGGACATATCAATTGATTCTTGAAGCTTCTATTGAGATAGAGTATATCAGAAAATGATTAATGCCAAGTCGTTATGCGGACAAAAATATAATATCACATACTTACTCGCGAGGATGTAGGTGGTTTCAGTGGAGAAATAGTCACTCGACGCGTAAATGCTACGGGCGCAATTGGTGCATATTGCCGAGCGTAAAGTGTTGGAGTGCGGGCCAAAAATTGTGGGCTAGCTGGAGGACTTTCGTCGCGCTGCGAGTTTCGCCCTGCAAATACGCCAGCGAGTCTCACGATAATCTAGTTTTATTATGAGTATTTGACATTTTAAAACAAGTAAACCGTATGGTTTACCTTTAGGTTTTATTGGAGGAAGCTGATCTAGGGTTCTAGGAAGTGTTGCCGGTGCTAGAAATAACTCTTCATCCAATCGGGTTATGGGTACCGTAGTAGGAGGAACAAAACGTGTGTAGTCTCGGGCCAGATCAGACAATGTGGATGGAGTGGTAGCTGGTGGGACGATCACACCACCGACAATTATCTTCTCACTCCCTTTGGTCACCGGCTGAATGTTCACTGCCACGATTTGTTTAGTGTTTGGAGTTGTCATATCATCGTCTAATACTTTTACTATGAATTCGGCGGTAGTTTCTTGATTTGCTCTCCATCTTGTGTATTCAGTATGCGCTCTTTTCTTTCGAAACACTGAAAACAAGCAAGATGAGAATAGTTGTGTATAATTTTGTAGAGATAGCTTTATTGTAATTTGTAACACTTACAGCTGATAGGGCATACAGGATCATTATCATCATATGTAATGTTGGATAGATCTAAACCAATTACTAACTGTGTAAAACCTAATATTATCAAAACTAAATAACTTTTCATGATAACAAAAATCCAATACTTTGACATCGCATGTTGTGCATTGACAAATTGACGTGCTAGATATTTTTAATTCTGCTGGCCAGACGGAACAGTGTCACCATGAATGAAAGATTATCTCCTTTGATAATGATCTTATTCGTTAAGAAATAGTTTTGAAGCAAAAGTTTATGGTTGAAATCCCGTCTCCATTGGTTCACTGAATGTCATACGCCAAAACCTTCAATGACAGTTTATTGGAGACAAACTTTTCTTTTTGAGAAAATTACACATTATTTTAAGTTTATAGAGACACGCAAAATGCTTTTACAGATTAAAATTTATTTAATAACTGTTATGTATGTGTTTGGTGCTTTGTTTATTATTTTATTTCCACCGCGAAATTATGAACAGTGAGTTCCATTTTACTTTATTCCTTTTATTTTCGAAACAGATTAAGATTAACGAAACAGAGTTATATTTGAAACACCTTATTTTGAAATTATCATAATATGACTAAAATGTTTAGCTGGTAGGTAGTTTAATACATTTCCAATTAATACTACATAAGTAAGGTGTAGGTAACCGTCACTTATCCCTAATTTTGAAAATCTGTGTAGGTATACTTTATCATGAAAATCTAATAATTAGACAAGGGGCAAGAATCCTATTACAAAACTAGTTTTCATTAAAACATATTTTCTTCAGATCAGGAGCTAAAATGAGAACAGTGAGATCTCTTGGAGCAGATCTAAAATTCAACCGATATTTTGATCACAAAACCGTGATGGAAGAGTCGAAACGAATTGCCCACGAGGACAAGTCGGTTGCTCGAGTGGTCTACCTGAAACCAACCACCTTTGAGAACCGAAGTATTGTAGCATTAGAGCTACATAGTGATAGACAAAGCAAGAAGCCAGGGATTCTAGTTATTGGAGGTATAGTTCAATTTCTTTGGCTGTATTAACATGATTTGTTTTACTAAGATCCGGTATTAAGCACTTTTGTAATTATTAAATTTGTTATTAGCTCGTCTTAAATAGGCACTAACTTGAAAAACAATGGGAAGTCAAGGTCTTGTAACGAACGTTCTGCCTAACTACATACATATGGCTCGTTTAAGAACTTTAATTATATTATCGTTATTCATGTCGTAGAAATCTCTGACGTATCCACGAGAATGCGCTTCCTAGCGATAAGACCGCCTGAATGTTTATGAGAATCTTTATTTTTTTGTAGAATTTATGTATTTCATAAACATAAACATATTTTTATTATTAGGCAATCATGTGAAATGTTAATAATTATTGTCAACAATTCAGTTTTCATACAAAATAATTGATGAACAGGTAGGTATTACGCGAATCGAAATGATAAATTACACCTAATCAATTACTTAATCTTTAAATCAAAAGGTATTAGCTGGACTAATCGCCTCTTTCGTGAATTTTAATAATGTTGGAATTGCCTTTAATCACTTTGATGTATGACATAAAAAGGAAGGTTGCTTTAAATTTTATCTCTAGGAGTGGATTTGAAGTCGGCCGCCTTTATTATAAACTTTGGTTCCATTAAACTTTCTTTTTTCTACTGCGTGAGCTGAAAAACCTTTGGTATAAGCTTCTAAAAGGTTTCATGATTCGTATAAAGATAAAGGTAGAGTCAACACGTGACGGATTAACGTGCTCTCTACATTATCTAGGTACCGAATGAATTAACTTACTTATTGTGAAATATTTTCAATTAATTTTTATCACAACTACTCGCACATTTTATTTTTTAGGATTGAATGGAATGGCATGGGGAGCTCCTAACGCGATCCTGGAACTGGCAGACAAGTTGTTGTATGATAGCAACTACCAAACCCCTTTCTTTAATGATTACGATTGGTTAGTAAAAAATTTAAATTATAATCGTATCTTCCAGGACATTTATTTTTTTATGAAATTCCCAAAGAAATTGATATTACCTGCCATTATTACGTCTTTTGAGTAGGTATTATAAACCTATCATCTAATACCGACGATATCTAATTAACGAAATATAATTAATCACCTGTCACTGATTGGTCTCTAATCGGTACCTATGAAGGGGCGCTAATGGTGAATAAGCAACATCGATATATCCGAACAATACCTATGTAAAGATCTGAGCACTTAGAGCTAAACACTATACAGTTGCAATAAGTGCGATTCTTTCACAAACATAAAATATATAGTTTGATGTTTTGTTTGCTGTAGGTAGGTAGATACTCTTTGGGTCGTTTGTATAAAAATCGTCAATTTGCTCTACTAGAAGCATTTTTATCCCAACTTTTCTTTCTCTCAGTCTTGCTATACACCTTTCAATCTAGATTTAGGTAGTAAAAACTAACATTTGTCTTTGAATAATATTGTTGAATTTAATCTCCGGCTCAAATTCCTAGATCGGAAGAGCTTTATTGAAAGTAATTCGGAATTTTACAAAGCTTGGTTAGCTTCAACATTAAAAACGTTTCCTTACAATGTATTTTTTACAATATTGTAGGTATCTGATACCCATGGGCAATCCTGACGGTCTCCACTTCACTCAAACCCTACGCGACTTGAGACCCGTAGACCCACTAATATGGTCTCGAAATATAACGGCAAGAAACAAAACCCGCCCTAACCATTGGCACAAAAATGTGGACAAGGAAAATGCGCAAGAGACTTGCTTTGGTACCAACGTTAATCGCAATTTCGCTTATCACTGGCAAGGTCAGTTTTCTTATCATAGCATTTTAATTTATTCAACCTACATATGTACTTAAATACTTGCATGTAAATAAAAAACAATTTAACGGCCGTTTTGAGGTTCACGCTGAAATTGCGTTTGTTATGATTTGCAAACAATCTCTATCTATTTCTAAATATCGGCGTGGCATTACTATAAAACCGTTTTCTTTGATTTCACAAGTTCTTACATTTTAATACAGACAGCGCCATCTATTAGTGTTCGTTCGAGCATTTTGAATTCTACAACTGAATCTATCAGTATTTTCATAAATTAGAGCTCTCTATAGATGACCCACGCTGAACTGTCCCACCAAACTCAATGACAGGGGGGCGCTACCATCGTTCAACTATATGGTTTCCAACATGGCAAAAATCTGAACCAGCGATCCGGTATTGACGGTGGCGCCCCACTGTCAATGTCATCGACAGGACAGTCCAGTATTTTGGAACTATACATTGTAAAAGCTTGAGCCTAAAAATATATAGTTAAACCCTCAGGTCTCAATTGAATGTCTATTGCGAACGTGATTTTATTAATAATTTTAGATTGATTTTATTGATTTGGAACGTATTCAGTAATTGATGTTTCATGGTTTTCAGACGACGTACACAGAACGCCTGAACGTTGCTCACAGTTCTACCCAGGCGTTAAACCATTTTCTACGAGTGAATCTCAGGCTATTCGCAAATACGTCGATCGTCTCGGAGACATTATTCATCTTGCAATACATTTGCATGCCAGTTTCGTGCCTAAAAAAGTATGATTCATTCATTTGTTTTCTACTTATCCATTAGAAAGAATTTTGTTTTTGTATATTTTTCCGTTTTCAGGAGTACATTTTGTATCCATGGCGATATTCGACGCGGCAACCTAGCAACTACCGCACATTGCAAGACATCGGTGAATATACTGCAAGGCAATCGCGACTTCCAGACGGACGACTTTATGAGGTCAGTAGTGCATTAGACTACAACAACAGCTATAACCATCTACTTACCTAGTTCGTAACCAATAAACTTGTTTATCATGAACATCAAACACGCAATTCAAATACTTTCGTTATTTAAAATCGCAAGTGCATTAGTAGGTATCAAGACAAAACCATCTAATCTAAATGAACCAAATAATACTTACAACTCGTTTTATCAAACAACAAGATCTTAATTTATCATTTACAATCTTAATAATATATCAAAGAAAGTAGAAATGTGTCAATAATTGAAGACTTTTTGCATTGCCCTTGAATTTTTAACAGTATTTAATGTTATCAGAAGTTTAAAATACTCGAACCTCTACTTGGTACCTACAATATTTTGTTCACTGCAGGTACACCAAAGCAGCAATGACGTAAGGGTGGCGGGCTCGCTGAGCGACTACTTGTCAGGAGTGGTGGGGGTAGATCTAGTGTTCCTCATCAAGCCGTATCATGCATTGTTTCCCAACTACACAGACTTCAGCTTGTTGGGTAAGTATTGTGTATTATTACTTATAGAAACATTTCTTAGTCATTTTATCAATTTTTCATAATGAAACATACATTTTTTGTTATAAGTAAGCCATTGAAATTTAGGTGCGCTGTGCTGTGAGCGGTCTTAAGAACTGAATGACTTTGTATTGTATGTATCTATGGTATCAATTTTAAGTTTATAATATCTCCTTTAAAATGGTACCATTTTTATTGATCTTCTATTAGTCATTTAGTTCTTATGATCGCTCGGAATAAATTGGGTGATTCCATATTTTTGCTCGCGAGTGTATTTCTTAGTTTTTAAATTTGCAACTGTCCACATTGCATGCCGTGGCAGCCTTTAATTAAGACAACACTTAGTTCTAAGCACTTTTAGTTATACATGACGTATGCGTGTTTCTCTTGATGGTTGTCCTAATAAATAAAAAAAAAAGAAAACCGTAAACTATGGATGGACCAAAGTTCATCTATAGGTAAATTCCTTTTGCATGCCGTCTTCAACGAACAGTTATCCTGTCTAAGGATTCCCGGTATGCTATTTTTACTACAGCGCTACGTTCGTAGCTACGGCGTCGTAATCGTAGCGCATCTACGGAAATTGATACCAAGAGGTCTGCGGTATTAAATGGCATGGATCCAATAACGTTTTCAGTTTATCCAGCTACAAGGTCATTATAGATTTTCATCCTTACTATGCTACTTACTACAGCGCTACGTTCGTAGCTACGGCGTCGTAGTCGTAGCGTTTAGACTACGGAAATGCTACGCAGAGGTCTTCATTATCAAAATGTGCCAATTAGCAATTTTTTCGCGATTCTTATCAATAAATTTTACTAACCCATTATCACCTTAGCTTAGGCGTCGTCGTAGTCGTACCATGTGGACTACGGAAATGCTACGCAGAGGTCTGCTGTCATGGATCAAATAACGTTATCAGTTTATCCAGCTACAAGGTCGTTAAAGATGATCATTCCCATTCCCACTTTGCTACTTACTACAGCGCTATGTTCGTAGCTACGTCGTCGTAGTCGTAGCGTGTGGACTACGGAAATGCTACGCAGAGGTCTGCAGTCGTGGATCTAATAACGTTTTCAGTTTATCCAGCTACAAGGTCGTTAAAGATGATCATTCCCATTCCCACTTTGCTACTTACTACAGCGCTACGTTCGTAGCTACGGCGTCGTGGTCGTAGCGTGTGGACTACGGAAATGCTACACAAAGGTCTGCGGTCAATCAAAGTGCATGCATCTAATGACGTTTTCAGTTTATCCTGCTGGAAGGTCGATTAAGTACTACAGTAACAGTGCTGTTACTGTAGTACTTAATCGACAGTAGTACTTAATTACAGCGTTCGTAGCTACGGCGTCGTAGTCGTAGAATATGGAATTAATGCTACGCAAAGGTCTTGCGTTTTCAAAGGGCATGGATGTAACGCAATAATTTTCGCGATTTTTATCAACAAAAGTTTACGTATCCAGACTCGAATGAAAATATGCCTCTTTTTCAGAGACATACGTGAAGAAATCCATGTCGACGATATTTAGCGTCGTGCGCGGGTGGCGTAGCAGCACCAGGCAGAACACGCTGTCATTCTTTGGCAGAGACGTTGAATTTTAGTTCTAGTCAATGTTCATCTTTTTTGGTATTATTCAGTATTTTAAATAAAATTATTCTTTTGTAATGAAAATCAGCGTTTTTAATTTGATGAATGAAGTAGATCACACTTCGCTCACCTTGTATTACTGTAGGTGTTCTTCTATCCAGGGCCCCGATTGCGTTAATTTGTAAGGTCTCCAATTTATTCATCTTTAATTGCGACATGACAGTGACAGATATGTCAAAATCCACCAATCATGCAGCATTTGGACCTCGCGTCTACGTATTGCCATCTGGCGGATTTTTCAATCGCGAAAACCCTCATTGCATTCCGTTTACGTTACAGCGTCGTTTGAACAAGCTGTCAAAGCGACACCGCGCGATATGAATTTGTGAAAAAAGCTGATTTACGTTCGTCGTCCAGTTGCGTTGCAGTTGAAAATATTTAGCGCAATCGGGGCGCAGTTCCTTACAGGACGTGAGGGATTTGGCGTTATAAATTCAAAACAACAACATGACTTTTAGCCAACATTTAATAACTGTTTATCCTCTAAAAATAAATAATAGGTATTTTATAAAATGAGCAATGTACACTATATACAAAAACATAAGTTAATATCAACTTCTGATTTCTGTTGATGTGACATTTTTGCTTAATATTGAAACATCTATGTCCCAATTCTCGGATAGTAGGCTGAGGGAGTTTAGCAAAGTCTTTTGTTTCTGACTATTTTCGTGGAGATCTGTGATGTGGAGGGTGCTCAAGTCGAGCGACACTTGGTGTAGGTACTGCAGTCTCCTGAGGAGGGCAGCCTTGAGCTCCCTGTGTTCAGTGCGCCGCCAGTACTTCAGGCTTCGAGCTATAACGGTGGTCACGTGCTCTCTCAACTCTCTTAGGCAAGTCTTCTTATCCGATAACATCTGCAAACAAACATTTACCATGTTATTCCAACAATAGCATCAAGCAAAAGCGGACCGAATAAAGGATGGTCCAACCAAAGTATTAATTTTTAATAGTTTTTGTGGAAATAATAAATTGACATCACTTGTTTTCCAAATCAACTGAACCAACAAATATTAATTTCAAAACAAAGAAAAGTCCAAATAACTCATTAATTATAATACGCTAGCTTTGTCATAAATAATTTCAAATTTTGGTTTTAAAACGACCAACCAACAAAAATGAGCCTTATTCCTTACATAGATAGAGTCCAAGCCACTGACCTGCGTGGCGGCACATAACGCGAGTCGCACGCGCAAATGGCGGCGCGGGCCGAGCGCTCGCAACGCCAGCGCCACCAGCCCGCTCGACGACACGCGCTGCGCCGCGGGATACGTGCGGGACTCCGCCTCGCGACTGCTGTAACAGATTGACATATTTAAAAAATAGTCTTAGGCTGAGTCCGCACTACGGTTTTTTCCCGCAAGCGGTAAACCGCCAAACCGCGAGACCACCCGAAACATATACGCGGGAAAAAGCCGCAGTGCAGACGCTGGCATTAGTTTTATGTACTTGAAATATCACGCGATTAAAACCGCGGCGGTTTAACCGTAGTGCGAACTGGGCCTTAGGGAAATGTCACACGGGCTTCATACATGTCACACATGTGACGTTGACGTTGTTGTATGTAGAACTACCCGGCGGACCGCTGCACTGCGGAAAAGACGTCTTCAACGCCTTAAAATTAGAGGCGTGAGGAAACACTACAGTGGCGCAACGCACATCGCGTTTGTCACGGTCGGTAGAGGCGCTGCGACTGCGGCCTTATTGTGTCGACTTTCAGTATGCATTGAGTTGTAAGTCTTGTAACTTAAGTATACTCATGCTCAGACTTAATTTTAAGTATATTTAACATGCACTCACCCATCGGCACTAAACACAAATTTAGTGAGGTAATGACTGGCGGTATAATGCCACGGCTAGACGTGGCGAAGCGCGTCGGGGCGGGTGAGCGCGACCAATTTATATTTCGATGTTCAATTGTTTTTCCGGGGAGCTAGATATTTAGTATTGCTCACTCACCCGTCAGCACTGAATACGAAGATAGTGGGGTAATGACTCGCGGTGTAGTGCCACGGCAGATCGTGTCGCAGCGCGTCGAGGCGAGCCGGGCGCGCGCGCACGCCACACGAGCGCAGCAGCCGCGCGGCGGCCGAAATTGCGCGCGTCGTGCCCGCGCTGCACGCGCCGCCGCAAACCGCTACGATGCTCACCTGTTTTTATAAATAATTGCAAAAGACAATGCCGGAAATTGGCGTCTTTTTTTTTCGCGCGGCCATCGACCAAACTTTGTTTTTTGATTACAAAATAGTGTAATAAACCAAACTTACTATGACATGTATACCTCTAAACTCAGTCTGAACTGAGTTACGAGCATTAGAAGTTTGATGATTTACATACTAGATTTGCTTTTTGCGCGCAAGTTTTAAAAGAAATTGCAACAAAATAGTGACATTGTATGTGTGAACAAACAATACCATCCATTAAATGCTCCAGACATCAGTATGCAGCAGAATCAGCTCAATAAAAAATAGCGCAATATTTTGTTGCAATTTCTTACAAAACTTGCGCGCAAAAAGCAAATCTAGTATGAAAATCATCAAACTTCTAATGCTCGTAACTCAGTTCAGACTGAGTTTAGAGGTATACATGCCATAGTAAGTTTGGTTTATTACACTATTTTGTAATCAAAAAACAAAGTTTAGTCGATGGCCGCGCGAAAAAAAAAAGACGCCACCTTCCATATAAAATCTGGCATTGCCATTTCTAGAAACGTATGTATCTTCTAATCGAGAGCTCATGCGTCAATGAGAAAATGAAAGAGAAAAAATGTTTATTTGATACCAAATAAGAGAAAAATTCACAAACAAACCGTTAAGCAGCTTGTTGCATTGCATTGCCCATCAGGAAGAAAGGAGAACTTTACTACCCCATAGTAAAGTTCTCCTTTCTTCTTTCTTCAATGGTGACAATGCAAAATAAAAACAGTGGTTGCCATGCGTAAAATGGTTATCCATTTATTCAATGCGTAAAAATACCCTTGTATTTAAATTATATTTAAAAAAAACTAATAATAATATACTTACGGTTCCTGGGGTCCTCACAATTTTTCTAAAAGTCTTGGTTGTGAGATCTATAATATCTACTATATTTTCGTTGGTACTCTCGTCGCCAACATTCTCTTCAGAACCGAAATAATGTGTGTGAGATGCATCTTCAACATGCGTTCTTAAATAACGTTTCAACTTTTTATGTGTAAAGTTATAAATAAAATCTCTAACAGATTTGGCACTATATTCTTCTGACAACAAATACTGGGTTTCCAGCTGAAAGAAAATAAACATCTTATAAAGTTAAGAAAAAAAGAACTTATCATGTTGACCAATGAAGATAGACCATAAAATTTATTAATTTATATTAAATCGCATCAGCATCAGGCAGGCCTAACGAGTACTTACTTTAGTATCTAAAATAACGACAGCAGTTTTGTCCTTCACATTCGTTACATCAATACCTAAAAACTCGGCAAAATGGTGATTACGAACACTATCCACAGCTAACATGTGTAGTGTGAAATTTTTCTCACAAGCCAGCCCTTCTACACGCGATATATTTTGTTTCTCTTCCGCGTTCGCAATCCTTGCTGGTGCGACTGGTGGCCCAATTTCATTTGCAAAATTAAATATTCTACATAGATATTGCTGGTGATCATGAAACAGATTTTCAACTGATAACGGGTCATCATCAAATGGCAGCATAGAAGTCTCTAAGCTGAAAAAAGAATTTCAAGTTTTATAAAAACTCTACAGTGCGAGTCAAACCAATGAGCCCTAATTATGGAAAGTAATGTTAATGTTTTTCTGCCTTCTGATTTTCCCGGACCCATTTATTTGACTCACCATGTAAAAAAGCTCGCGCTAAAATATAACTACGTCTGTTGTGGAATCTAATGCTACTATTGCAAGGATTATTAAAAAAAAGTCTCACTTTGAACAATCTGATTCCAACTCCTGTTCAGGTGCCAAGCTTTCCTCATATTTTTCACATTGCTCGTAAATATCATAAAACTCTTTTTCAGCTGGCATTACTTTTGTATCACATTGCTGCAACATGGCCAAGGTCGCCACAATGTCTGCCTCATCATTAGCACTGTCTAATGCTTTAGACATAGCCAATCTGTGTTTCAGGAGGTAGTCAAATGCCAATGTTTTTGGGGTATTATGTGTGGCATTATACCAAGGATACTTATTATTATGTGAAACTATTTCTCTCTTATAATTTAAATTCTGTTTAGGCTTTCGATGCTTAAGACTTTCACAATATTTTGCGTAATTCCTTCGTTCATATATCAATCTCTGGATCTTTTGTATTCTTATAAGTTCAGATGTCAAATAGTTTGAGTTATTTGTTTTACAGCTGTAGTACTCCATTGCAACTTCACGCAACTGTAAGAAAAACATATTTGAGTAAGAAATTCTATATCAGAATGATTAATATCAATCTATATTAGGTACATACCAAAGCATATGAAGGTATCTGCTCATACAAGGGATTTAAAGGAGTAAATAATATCAAAATAGGATTTCCATCTGCATATCTTTCAAAACTAAAAGCCTTCTTCCACATAGGTATTATTCTTGATACTGGTTGAGTAAAGTTCTCCAAAACCCATTGTAAAATTGCAGATTCATTCCAGGGTCGTAAAGGATCCTCTGCAGTATATTCCTGTAATAAACAGTTTTAACAGGTTTTACAACATTATAGATTTTTAAAACTTAAATAAGATATTTTACAAACTACAAAAATATATGTGTATGAAGTAGTAGTACACATCTACTGCAACTGATAGCGGAACAATATAACACACACCACTGTATTCAGAGCAACACATTAGCAACTTGGTACCATGAAAACAAAGACGTGTATTGATAATTTCAGTTTCAGACATTAATAAAATTTTTGTTCACTGTGTGGCACCTGTGTATACTATGACAAATAACTATTTTAATAAATTGTAGACTTAAAAATATAATGTATGACTACAATACCTTTGTAGTATTCCACAACATGAGACGAACATTTGGTACAGTATGAATTCCTAATTCCGCAGCCAATGATTCTGAAGTCACAACAGCAAAGCATATTTCTCCAACAGTATCAAACTCGCGAGCCTTCAGGGCCACATAGTACCAAATGTTATAAAACTTTGAAGTTTCAGCAAGTGGTGTGAAACCTATTGCTACAGCCTAAAAATGACATAAATCATATTGAATCATTGTAAGAAGTAAAAATAATATTAAGTTAAATTATTCTCATACTCACATCACAGATAGATATTAAATTTATTAGATCTTCAGTAGAAGAAACCCTGTCTAATGGTTTCATTATTAACTGTAAGAATTTCACAATACTTTGAGCATCTCTAGGTCCTGAAAATTAATAAAAAATAAATGTGATCATTCAAAATGTTATAAAGTATTTTTCATTCAAATTGAGTATTGCAGTTTTAAGTACCTTTGTAGAGCACACCTCTGGATGTAACTGTATAAGCCATTAAAATAGGCCATGATGGTATTTTATTGTTTTGTAATCTACACTCACTGCCAGGATTCCAGCAGTTAATTGCAGAAAAGTGAACCTGTTATTAAGATATTTTTTCCAATTAATTTAAAATTATTAATAGGAATGTAATTAAATTAGCATTAACTTCAAGTTTAATTACTTGAAAGTAAAAAAAATTCATAGACTTTTATAAATAAATTGATCAATTACCACATTCATTATCTAGTCTCAAATGAGCAACTGTGAAATTTCAATGAGAAATTTATAAATAATAATGAAATTGAAATCTCTGGTAATCAGAAAAGCAATAAATTCTAACAAATTATGTCCAGTTTACTGGTTTATGATAAAGATAACTGACCCGATCACCCAGTACAGTGGCAGCCTTGTCAAACTCTCCACGAACATACTGTGATTCTGCATCCCAGGGGGCATAGTACATTACAAATGAGATATCCACACTGTTGACAACACCTAAGGCATCACTTAGCTGACCTCTATACCAGTCGGTAACTGCAGATTCTGGGTCAAAGAATCTCACAGCTTGAGGATGTTTTGATATTTTTGGGGGCCTAAAATTGAGAAAAAAACAAAAGATAATTCACTCACACGATCGGATTTGAATACTAACACCTCTTAGTTAAAGGAGGAACTTACGGATTGTGCAGAGCTCCGTATGTTGTGAGTGCAACAGCTATGCAAAATATAATTTCTTTGACCAACATGTTTAACGTTAACTCCCTGTTAGTTTGTTGTTTTGCAAGTTGTGTATTATCAGACGAATCTCGTACATCGCTATTAACACACGGTTTTCTATTTAATGACGTGACCTGTACGATATCTTCAGTGTCCGCCGTTGGAAACATTACACGTCAGTCATAAACATGCAGAACTTTGAAACTCGTTCACCGATTTTAAGGCATTGCAGAATTATTCTACATGAACTAAGGTTTTCATTTGTAATCACAATTTCATGAAAAATCTGCAGAAGCATAATAAATGATCATAAAAACTAGTTTTTACATTATTTGTTCACAGTTTCAGTATCCAAACAAGAAACACGAACGAACAAATCATCTGTCATTTCATTCATCAGTCAATCTGACAGCCAGCTGTCAGGATATTTTTTTAAACAAATACGGCTTTGGTATGAAGTTTTATATCATTAATCGTATTACAATCGTATCGAATTCATGCTATCTAAAAGTTTTATTGTGGTACAACCTTAGATTAATAAAACCTAGATGGATAGTCTTCATACAAACGCTTCGTCAAGAGTGAGGCAAAAATCTTATGTCATTAGTGTCAATTTTGTTGGGGAGTGTAGACAGTGAAGGCGATTTTCCCGAAAGTAGGGAAATTTTTAATACGTTTTTAATTATTTTATAATTAACAAAAACAAAACGCATCATGTACTTACTTATTTATTGAATTCAAAGTACCTACCTAATAACAATAAGATAAATCGACTTAAAAGTCTCGATTTCATAAAAAAGGAAGTGTATTTGTACGGCGAACAATAGGGGAAATAAATTTTCTTGTTACTAGTATCATTCCCGTATTTAATTTTTGAAAGCCAAATTCAAGCAAAATACGCGTCGAATTGTAGTACTTACTTATGAAATGTAACACTGGTCACTTTCTTTCGTTTTTCTGATGTATTTTAGACACCCTTTCACAGCACAAAACGTTTTAATTAATTAAAATTCGTCAGACGTGTTTACCAATTTTTCACTTAGATTAGTTTTAATCTAAGTTTGACAGTTCATGTGACGTTTACGGGTGAGCCGTGCCGGCTCCCTAAAAACTGCCTCACCTTTCGTGCACTGACTATCTATCTAGGTTTTATTAATCTAAGGGTACAACAAAGACTAGTTATTTAGTACCGGCACTGTTGCTGAAAAGTCAAAGGATAAATGAAATGAATACAGAGCCCCGATTACGGTAACTTTTAACGTCTACAATCCAGACGCGTTTCTGATGCGTTTCTGTGGGTCTAGACAAAATGCAAATTATAATCGCAAACCAGTCGAAAAGTGGTCGAAAAGCCCCTTTTTTGTATGGAGATTTGACGGATTCGATTTTCGATTCGATCAAAAAGTGCGTTTTGTCTAGGGGGGCTGATTCTGCAATACGATTGGTCAAAACAGCTGACGTGCGCTGTTGAACGACCAATCGTATCGCAGAATCGAGAAGCGTGTCTGGATTGTTGACGTTAAAAATTACCGTAATCGGGGCTCTGAAATTGCAAGACGTTTAATAAGTTGTTTTGTTATCAACTATTTACAAAAGTGCCTAATGAATGAAAAGTAAAAAACATTTTTGTTTAATGGCAACATCTGAATTCTCGTCACGATCGCCATTTTGTAAAATTGGCATTTGACTTGTTTTGAGAAAAAGACAGGCTGTCTGTCTGTGTCACATTCTGCGTTTTAACGGCCACTTTGGTTGAGAAATTATCGAAATTGTGTTTCGTAACGATTCTAATCAAATTTCACTGCACCTTAACACTTCAAATCTTGATACTAAGATCAATATCACAACATAAATGTAATGGTACGCTAGTGATCCATCCTTGAAAAATCGTTTCTTGAAAGTTTAATCTTACTACAAAAAATGGAATCTCCAAGACAATCTGATTCTGAATCAATTGAATATTGGAGAAAACAAGCTAAACACTACGAGCAGAAGTAAGTATACAACCTCTCACTTTAGTTTGTTTATATTTTGCATTGTGGCGTATCAACTATTCATTCACAATGATGGTATTTATGACTCACTTTTGTTGTAATTTAGGGCTAACGACATACAACAGGAGTTAGATGAATACACAGAAAACTCGGCACAACTGGAAAAGGAATTGGAAGCCTCATTAGTGCAAGTTGAGAAACAAAACAGAGATCTAGAACATCAGAATCAAAGGCTGAAGAATGAAATTGAAATGCTTAGAGTAAGTCCCTATTAATAGCATGTCAGGCTGTACAATTTTGTAGCAAAATCGCATCTGTTACAATGATATAAGATGCTACAGTGCTTATTTTGTTATGCATTTGTCTGCACAATACAAACTATTGTATCAAATACAATTTTAACTTATATTTGTTGCTGATTGTCTTGCAGAATAAACTAGAAAGGAGTCAACATGAAACAAATGCCTTAGAAAATGAACTGCAAGCCTTAAAAATAGACAAAGATAAACAGGCGGTTTATATCAGAGAACTAGAACAAAAAAATGATGATTTAGAGAGAGGTCAAAGGTAAAATTTTATAATTTTAAATGACGTTAGCACATAGTGGTTCCATTTTATTGTACATACATTGTTACAACACCACTACACTTCTCCGTTTTATTACTTGTGCAATATCTAATTAGACTCATAATTATGACTAAGCTTAACATTTCTTCCAAAGCTCGTAATTCTCTTTTACAAAGACCATTAGGTCGTTACAAAACTGGAAACTAATGGGAAGTGGTTATTTGCTTTGTCTGTGGCAACTCTAATTATATGATTGCGAAATAAAGTGAGTCATGTAATTTAAATAAAAAACGGCTCATTACACAATTATGCTTTATTAAAGAATCACTGTATGTTTTTCTTATTTAATTTACAACACTTGAAAAGCAATCAAAATTCAAGGTAATAAACCTTATGAGTGCATTTTTTAATGAAATAATCATTACACTTTTCGATTGAGTAAGCTTATTATTATGAAGTATTTGGAACTAAAAAAGGCTGTGAATCTATTTTTCATATTTTGTGATATTTAAGCTTTTCATGTAAAAGTGAGCCTTTCCCTGATGTATATTTCAAATATGCTTTGTTATTATTAATTTCAGAGTTATATCAGAATCAGTTTCATGTATAGAAACACTGCTAAATCAAGCATATGAAAGGAATGCTGTATTAGAAAGTGAAGTAGATGAAATAGAAAATTTAAGGGTTAAGTTACAGAGAGCAACAGATGAAGCTAGAGGTATGTAAAAATCAAATATTTTGTCTCAGTGTTGCAATCTGTGTTCTTTTATTAATAAAAATAATTATTTGTAGATCTGAAACAAGAATTGAAAGTAATGGAACTGATTCCATCACACAAGAAAGAGGATGAAGAAAATGAAACACCGGCAGTCAATGGAATTATTAGTAACTCCAGGACCCATGTTGAAATCGAAACACAAACATCTATTACTTCTCCTCTAAAACGTAAATATGTGTACAACTTACCTATTAGATTGTTTATAATAAATAGGATGATTTTTTAGGAACCAGACACTAGAAATGTTTCATGTTACTATAGTATTTTTTAAATATTTTAGATTGAAGGCAATGAAGTTATGAGAGTACTTTTTATAAAAGTTAATATACAATGCTAAGAAAATATTTAATTTGTGGAAAAAGTTACTTCATGTGTTGTGCTTAGTAATTAGTATTTTAAATATTAATTTAATGACAAGATTATTTTAAATATAGAGGAATTATTTAAATAGCCAAAAATAAAATATTCATAATTATAAATAGTGAAAGTAACTACTTTCACTATTTATAATTTTATTATGAATATTTTATTTTTATCACCATTTATGTACATAAATGGTGTGCTTTCATAAAGTGAATGATAAGATAAAGATATTTATAAATGTTTAATTCATAAAACATTAGTAACGATTTTTTTCTTTGAAGGTGAAATCAATGGAAATGCTATGACGCCTTCTTCTCGAGTATCAGCAATAAACATAGTTGGAGATCTTCTTCGCAAAGTAGGGGTAAGTCAAAACAATATAATTTCGTCTTCACTTAAAATTATTGTAATTATTGTCGTAGTGCTATTTGCCTTTGAATATTTCACAAATTCTATCAATTTAGCACTGTAAACATAGAATACAATATGTAGCTAATTTCTTTAATAATTTGTCTAGTCACTTAATTTATATTTTGTATTCATATTTATTTATCATAATATATTATTTAATTTTTAAGTTAGGTAGGTAGGTAGTTAGTTTAAAATTCACTTACTTATTAGTTCCTTGTATATGTATTATATTGTGTATGTATTATATTCAATTTATTTATTTCATTCAGGCCATTATTGTATATAAAACAGGATAATTGAAAAAAGCCAAAGACAGTTATCAAATTAATTTAAATAAAGACCAGAATTAAAACACATGATTCCCTTAAGAAAATTACCATTTATTTTGATGTTAAAGATTATATTTTGAAACTAGAGCAAATTTATGAGGATGACATTAGTTATGCACATGAGGCTGATTTTACAATCACGCTTACGGTAACCAAAGCTTTAGCAACACCCTGCCATCGGTGATTATGCTGATGGCACGCCTTTTATTAGGGGAGACCTAGGTGTTTTGAAACAGAAGGTGAGTTAAAATACCACCGATTTCTTAGAACTAAAACCGTTACCTAGCTAGTAACATCACAATTAACCTGCTTGTTGCCATCCGCTGACCCCTCAGTTCGCGTTTGTGACTCAAGGCACTTTTAAGTTCTGAAATATCAGTGGTTCAACTCACCTCAGTTTCCCCTACTATAATACGTTAATTTGCCTCCACTCTGCCTACCGCACGCGCGTCATTAAGCGTGACTATAATACCAGCCTAAGAAAATTATTGACCAACGAAAGTTTTATTTAGTTTCGTAGCGTGCACTTGTTTACTGTGGTTTGTCGTGGTTTGTTTCATTATCTCTGGTTAAATAGGATAGCTTATGTATACAGATTTATTATAAATGTAAGTAAGTCTATTATGGAAGAAACATTTAGAATGGTGTTCCCACTGCTCATTGCAGTATTTACAGATATTTTGCTAACCTGCTCTAATTCATGTTAAAAAAGTTGTTAAATCAAAATATTTTTGAATGGTATACGCCTGCACGCCAAACCGTTATGCAGCATCGACACAATATTTTTAAGGACTAGACGGTATGATTGATTAGTCATCCGCATCTCCCAGTGAGCTGTATGGGGGGCACCATTGCTTAAATAAATGATGTTTCTTCCAGTACAATTTTATACTCAAATTAAATCACAGCCCAATCTAAGTAGCTTTCTATGGTGGTGAAATAGTGCGTTCTAACATATTAGTGGTTGAACAGAAGAAAAACGCACCGGTCCACTACCGCCGAAACCTACTCAGATATACGTTGTGTGTAGTTATTAGGTAGTTAGAATATTGTTGCAATTTAGTACTGTAGGACTTTTAGTTTTTTAGATTACGCATGGTTGTTGTGTGTGTAGTATGCATGTTATTTATTGCTTACAGCTTGAAAGGTTTCTTTGCCGTGATTGTGGTAAGGTCAAATGCTCATGCGAGGCACCTCCCGCTGCTAATCATCACATAACTCCGCCCGAGGAAGGCGCTACAAAGACTACAGAAAAGGAAAACAATGAAAAACATGAACCCGTCGAATACAGAAATCTCTATCGACAAAATTCTGCATCTGAAAACGGGGAAAAACATTCACAAAATCATATACAGTATCAAAGATCCTCAGAACAACCTTTCGCAAGGGCAGGGCAAGGCGAAAATGGAAAGCTTAGAAGGTCCTTTGTTGTTAGATCTAGAGAAGGACTAGAAAATCTTTTAAGTTTTGCCACAAAGAAAAACCATGATAATGCCAAAACTAAACAAATGTTTTGATAAAACACTCATATAATTGTATTTTAGTTAAAAAAAATATTCCCTGTACATAATGTACATCATTTTTGTTTTTTGTAAAGATAACTTACTGTTATTGTAATAACATTTTTGCCTTATCAATAACTTATAGTATTAAATGAATACTCGTGAGAATAGACATTACTAAAAATGTGTTTAGATGCTCTATTTGGCCGATAAATTGATAATTTATTACAAAATGTGTGAAAAAGAAGTTGTTTTGAGGTTCGAAGCCTGTACATACACATTCGTTCGATTGTAATAAGATAAGACCAAAATGTGAAAAAGCGTTAATTAAATTAAAATAATGATAACATTAGAGAGGTCACAAAATGTGCGATTCTACAGTCAGATAATTTCTGTGTCAGTAACATCATCCATCCTTAACAAATTCTTTTTGGAATGCCGACGGTTTTTTTTTTCGAAAATGCTAACCTGTTGTGTAATTTCAAGATTTGCAGTTAGGTTTCACAGGTCACATTATTCAATTTGTAGTACTCCTAAGAAGGGACAATAATCATTGGCATAGCTTGCTAGTCGAATGTAAATATTATTATTATGTACAAGTAGTACTTTAGTGCATTAATGGAAAGCATTGGGAGAGGCCTATGTTCAGCAGTGGACGTCCTATGGCTGAAATGATGATGATGAGTACTTTAGTTGTTTGTAAATAAGAAAAAAAATATTCAGGTCCATCCAGTAAATAAAAGTAAAAAAAAGTTTCATTTTTCCAAAATAAAAATAAATTAGACTTAAATTGTATTATCTAAATAGACTTTTCAACACCTACTCTACTTATAAGTTGTCTTGCTTGTAATTTATTGCTATTACTCTGTATAAAAAGCAGAGAATAATATAATTTGTCGTTTTATTTACTGGATGAGGCAGGCATGTCTCATTTAAACACGTAACTTGTGAATCAGGCCTGCTTGTGTTATCTGTAATTGTTTTTAGTGTTGGTAGCCAATTGTTTTGATTGTAAATTTCCACGTCATTACGTTATTTCTCTAATATGATTTAAGAAGTGAAATGAATAAATTATTATTATTTATTATTTATTTACACTTCTCGTTGTTTATAGTTATAGTTTTACTGTTGTTTGTTTATATTATAAAGAGTAACCGCCATAATGTACAAATAGATTATTAAAGTTTTCACTTTGTACATAATGTATTTTATTAAGTGTTGCACGCGAGGTGACGGCTATAACACATTAATCAATATATCTATCACCTACTAATATAAACTTCATTCATATCATGTACTTTTCTTCATTGTAGGCTTTGGAATCAAAGTTAGCATCGTGTCGTGGTTCAGTTAGACCTAAAGAGCATTCACCAAACGCAAGCGCCGAGGTCAGTAAGGACTACAGGTGTGTACTCAAGAACTAATAACGCCCAATACCATCACCGTCTCCACTTCACTGCATAAGCAGGTCTCGCTTGCGTAGTAAGGCGCTATACCAACCAAGCAGATTTTTTTTAAATTATGAACTTGCTTAGTGGTATATCTTGCTGATCAAACGTCTACTGTGATCAATATCACATCCTAATTTACAATGTCTGTGATGATTACGAAATAGGTAAGGATTGGTATAATGTTTAAAAGTATTTTTCGGCTTTCCCACCGGAGACCTAGCACTTCGAGAAGTAATTCTACTTCATATATTAATGTAGTGATATTATGTTGTGTTATTTGTAAAATGCACATTGTGTCTTACAAAAATGACTGTCACGCTGTATGAGTCTAACTTCTTTACTAATTTATTAATCAAATCTTAAAGTAACAAAGGTTTCATTTCATTAAAAAATGGAAATTAATTGATAGTAAACATAACTATGTTTTTATTTTTAAACTCTGCAAACAATTGATATAAGACTAACTGTGTTGCGTCTGTTGGTGGACAAAAAATATTTTGGATAAATTCTTCGTTGTATATAGTAGATAAAGAAGAACATGTATGAAATTGTTATAATTGTAAAATTTTATGGAAACTAAAACTACATTATTTATATATGGCATTTTTATAATAATATATGTAATAATCCACACTTAAGTGTACATAATACTATAATATATTTCATCTACATTATATCAAAATTCACTGTAATGAAAAGAAATCAATATAGCCTGTAACAGAAAGTGTTTGTAATATAAAATAAAGCTTAGTTATTTTTTTTAATTAAGTATAATACAAATAAAGTAAGTGGATTTATTTCATTACTTGAATTTTTGAATTAATTTAAACAGTCATGATATCAATATAATGACTACACTCGAGTTAACATGAAATATAGTTTAGAAACTTCGGAATCGGAATAATTCGGAAGTGCTTGTGATATTCTTAAAAGTTTCTAATATCGATTTCAGCATGGTTTACTAATGTTGTGTTTAACATCATTGTCGATTACCTTCTCAAACTAATACAAACCTACTTTAAACATACCTATGTATTCGAATATTACACTCGGGCATGTTACTGTTTAACATTTAGATCTTGCCGTATGTCTTAAGTACTGTGTAAAAATATACCCATAAAATAAATTAATACGTTTTCTGCTTACTCGAGATTACACCTTTAGTAAGATGCTCTATTATAATAATATCTACGATAGAAGTGGTATAAATAGGTTATGCAATAAAGCAGAGTTTAGGCGGTACCAAATTGTGAATAGCCTTATGCCTAGAGAGCCTAGTCCACATTGTTTCAGTAGTAATAAAATTGCTTTCAATTTTCACTGCATACGCAAGTAAGTTGTCGTTAGTAAATATTTCAATTAGATACTCTGACATATCATTGCAGAGTATACAATGCGGGCCTGGCATCTACAGACGACTTGATAGATAATAAGGATATTTCAATGGTATCTTACACCTGTGATGTTCTCATAAATTCCAATGAAGATATCTTAATCAATTTATTAATGACTTCGTTTATTTTAATCTCCAACTGACACGCGCTCTCCTTACAAGTAACAGTATACAGGCAGTTTAACATAATATTGTCTTGGTTGCATAATAAGTTTTCACGAGTCATAAATGAAATGATTATGAAAAATCTTATTTCGTGACACAACTTGACTATACGTTTTGTAAGTTTAGTTGGTTTACATAATTGCTTGATTAATAATAATAAATAAATACGAATCTATTAATGAATTATTGCTAAAATATTTGTTGCCCAGTTTTCCGCGAATAATTTAAGTACCTAGTAATAACTAAGCATTTATACATTCACGTGTGCGGTGACCAAATATATGTTTTATTTTGTGCTCAATAAAACTGAGGAACATTATAAAAGTATAAGAAATAAAAAACAATTGTTTCATTTATTAAAGTACACACTTTATTAAAGTATTTGTTCACCAATGAATACTTTTGAGAGAAAGCTGGTCCATACTACTTTTTTTGGTTCATCAACTGGGGGTTTAAAGTTATTTACTAAATACATTAAGGATTTGTTTAACAATTTTAATTCAATACTGAAAGGTGAAGCTTCTTCTTGGCTGACTACTTCCAGTAAAACGTTACCTGGAAATGAAAAACACTTTATGACGATTGTTGAAGCATTGATAGGCAGGCAAAAAATGGACGAGACTCGTAATTTCGTAAAACAAAGCAGCTAGCATTTTAAAAAAAGATTAGATTTTGTCTTTTGACCTACCTGCTACTTTAGGAGAACGTATCAGCCACAGGGCACTCACATATAACGGTAGAGTTTGAATTTGGTAAATAAATTTAGCCAAAACATACTCTACTAATAAAGACAATACACGGAACTGGAAGAAAACAAAAATTATCCTTAAGAACAATAGTTGCACACTTTGATAGATAAAATTAAGGTAAGGACCTACAATTTGTTTAAAAAAATATTTTTAGTTTTTAAGGGGAAGGGGGAAATAATACAAATATTCGCCAAAAATGTATCAACTACTCTGAACTACATAATATAATACAGGGTAGTCCCAGAATGGGTGAATCAAACTGCTATTGGAGGTAGCTTGACCTCTAACCTACTCATCTACCCCCATAAAATGAAAAAAAAAGAACAGTTGTTATATTGTTGGAATTTAATGGGATTATGTTGAATGGGACACTTCTCTGTCTTACCATAGTGAAAACAATGTAGTACATTAGGGTGGTTGGTAATAATAGTAGCATAATTGTAAATGCTACAGTACCAACAAATAATTCCTGGTTTGTATATTCACATGAATCAATTCCTTTTCTTAGAGGATTATATTTTCTTCCCACAAAAAACCTCAGCAATGCAATCAGGCCTGATATTTGCATATTAAACATTCTGCAACAAATAATGCATTATGAATAAGAGAGATAAATAAAAAGAATGCTAAAACTCAAGTAGTAATAAAAAAACACCTTGCAGCATATACATAAATGCAATATGCATGGAATGTTCCAATACAGATCATATCTGATATCATTGCAGCTTGAAATGTAAGCCCCAAGTATCCCAAATAATAAAATAAGTGTAATATAATATCCAGTTTTTCACCAGATACATCTGAAAAATAAATGTTTAGATAATTAAAAAAGAGATTATCTTATAGGAGTTACCAGTAAAGTAATCAACATCAAATATTTATTGGAACTTACCTAAAAATAGCCACCAGAGTTGTACATGGTAAGAAAAACATTTTCCAAGCATTTTGGTAAAAGCATTATTTAATTTTAATCCTGCTGGTGCTCCCATGAGCCACTTCAGCAAAGAATAAAGTATGTTTATAAGTTTCTGAAAATGTATTTGATAATTACTTAAATGAAGTTGATTTAATAATCAGGATACCAACACATTATAAAACTTGTGTTACCTCTAAAATCCCCATGAGTATAGAGCTTAGCTCCTTTGTGTCCTGTGTAAGATATTGCAATATAACATATCCTAAAATAAGGTCCATCAATATTGCACAAATTAAGTTACCATGCTTTATTGACACCTGGAATATGAAATACAGAGCATTTATATATATATATATTACACATAAGATAGTCATGAATACGATATTATAATGCAATACTAAGTGTTAAAGATAACAAATTTAAGAAAACCTTACTTTTTTATCCCTTTTGATAGTAATTAAAAGCCATTTCATAACATTGAAATAGTTGATAACATGTTGAATAAACATGGAAGAGGAGAACCAAATCGGGCATGATAGTTTTGTGGCATCATAAGGCTGGCTTTCGGGCTGACGATTTTCAGATAATACTAATTGCTGCAATTTGGATAATTCATCACTATATTCCCATTCAACTTCAGATTCTCGAATTGTGTTTAAGTCGTAAAATACAATAAGGCATTTATCTTTAGCATCAATTGCGTTTCCATTTATGAAAAGTTTTTTAATGTATAGTTCACCAGACTGATTGGAAATTATTAACTTGTTATAATTTCTTGATTTGTTAAATGTAGAAGAGTGGATTCCATCTTCCGAATAACATCCGTAGATAATATTTTTCATGTCTTTATCACTATCTTCCAATAATGTTTTACTGTTCTCTGAGAATTTAATGAAATAAATAGTAACTTTGGTATCACTTTTAAAATTGACATAACCTTTATAATAAATTACATCAGATGTGTTCGAAATTGAGGGTAAAAGAATTTGCACCGAGCTCAGCATTTTCTGTAAAAAAAGTTAAGAAAACTAGTTTTGTTTATTTTTTGTAAAGATAATGTTTTTCATTTCATTTACCGTCAAATGTCAATGTCTTGTCACAACAAAAAACAGCTGATAGATGACAATTTACTTTATATTTTAACGAATGTCATGAAAACATTAAAAGTGTACAACTAATATTTGTTATCAACTAATTCAAATTAACCTGAGATAAGCCGTGAACTTGGTTCGTAGAAAAAGCTACAAATATTGTCTGTGGTCTACACTTTCGCTTGACGCCATTTTGGTTGGGCAATCGAAAAAACAAGATTGAAGTGTTGGCGTGTGGTGTATTAAAATGTTGTTCGTTTTAATATTCTGAGAGTATTTTTCCTGTGGTTTTACATGTACAAATATAAGACTTATTCAAAGATTGTGAATATCGTCGTACAACCATTTTGCATTCATCATGTCTGCACACGAGCAAATGAGGGCGATGTTAGATCAATTGATGGGCACAGCGCGCAATGGTATTTTTCGATTTCCTTAATGCATGACCAAACTATGATCATTTGACATTATTATATAATTTAAATTATTTCAGGTGAAACCGATAAACACGGAGTAAAGTTTTATGATGATGCAGTGTGCAAATCGTTTTTGTTGCAATGTTGTCCTCATGAAATATTATCATCGACGGTAAGTTTTAATTTATGATGATTACAGCTTTGGAATCTGAGATTTCATTAATCCTCAAAAGTTATAAGATCATGATATAAATAATTTAAATTTAACATTTCTTCAAAGCAGTATAATTTCTTCTCCGTAAATTTAAACTAATGACTTCTCAGAAATACAGTTTGGGAATGTTTCTTCTCGATTCTTTCCTGTCTCCAGACACTTCATGTACATTCGGATTGTATATTCTTTTGTATTTTATGTGATATTGCTTCAATATTTTTAAGGATCATAAATCCTGATGTACATGACTATTTCTATTCTGCCATAACTGTTGCCCTATTGTAATGTAGTGTCGCTGGGAAATCGTTTTCATCGGAGTGGCATTAACTTTGGTGAAATATGCTTTTCAGAAAATGCCCAACACTAGTCTTTATTGCTCATCACAATACTTAACAGATGAGGGATAGATTGTATGAGTTAGGCTGTTCTGTAAGTACCAAGATGTACGTATAAAACATTTATAGTTAGCTGATTGTATTATTACTGCTAAGCAGGATTTAATTTAATAAGGCACTTACAATTTAATAAATATCCATCGGTTTCTAATGCTGCTTCGGTGAGTACAGTAAAATTTTAGGAACATGAAAGAATCTCTAGCCAGGTGAGAGCATTCGGTGAAACATTCTAACTGCATTGGGTACGTACTGTGCTATTTACATGGCTAGAAAAACCGGAATAGTATTTGCATGTAATAATAATTTGTAAGAAAGCATTCTTATCAAACAATTTGATATTAAAACTGTTAATTTAGTGATACTAATTATTTCCATAGGCAGCATACAATTATAACAAAATTTTATTAAATTTAATATTGGTTTGTTTAAAAAGTTCAATTATTCTTTTATGTTAGGTAATTAGGTAGGTATTTTTCTTTTTAGGACATTGAAATTCACCTATTTCCTGAAATTAGTTTTATTTACACACAACAGAACAGATGCTTAATAATTTATCAGGCAACATTAAGTCAGATCAAGCAGGTTTTTAGTTAAATTTTCAATTTCAATTATTTAACTTTTTTCTTGACTGCTATTGATACTTATTTTACACATGAAGATATGCATTTTTGCACAAAAGATTTCTTGTAGATATGCATATTTTCTGTTAGTTATACATCTATCCTATCCATATTATTGGTAATGATTTATCTGTTTTTGTACAGTTAAATTATTATTTCTTATCAACTTTAATGGGTATTTATTTATTTCTTGTATTGGGCAAACTAACATGGTAAAATTCATTTAGGAGTATATTTTTTATCATCTCAGGGATATTTTAGTCTAATAGGGCCTTATTGCAAAAAAGTTAAACCCGGGAAGAACTCTGGTTTAAAATGACATTTCCATACTAAACGTCAATTTAAACCAGAGATCAACAAGAGTCTAACTTTTTGTAATAAGGGGGCTAAGGTTTATTTTATATTTTAATTTGGAAAAATTACACATTTGAATTTAATACTATTACTATTTGTCTATACAAATTAGATGTTTGCTCAAATAGACTTTAGCAAAATCTAGATAATGAAAATATAAAATTATAAACGAGGTAGACAATAATATAAATATTATGGTGTAATATCACTTAGCTCAATTATTAGGATTCCTAAGAAATGCTCAACTAAATTTAGTTTTAAAATAGTCTAATGCCAAGATGAAACAACTTACTAAAGTTGTATATGGGAGTTTCCTCTATAATTTGTAAGTACACATTTGGTAAAATATTATGTTGGATGAACCTGGTTCGTGGGCGCAGTTTGGCGATATTGTATGTATTCGATTAAGCAAATTTATGTCTTTTAAATATTTATATTGGGACTTAAAATTGTAATTTGATTATCAAAAATTATTTTACTTTGTATTATTAATAAAAACAAATTCAAAAGGTGCAATAAATATGATTGTTCAATAATTTTGCCCTAAAAATGTTTGTCAAAATGAGGCAGATTTTATTTATGTATTTTAATTTTCTTTGCAGCGTATGGATTTAGGTGAGTGTCCTAAAATACATGATTTGGCCCTGCGTGCGGATTATGAGTTAGCAACCAAAACCAAAGACTATTTCTATGATATTGATGTAAGTACCAGCATAGTGTATTTTTGAACTATATTTTCTTGTAATTTTTAGACTAGACAGTTCTGGTAGCCCGAAATAATTTGGTCAGAGGATTCGGTTCGATCTTGAGTCTGGGGGCAAGTCTAGTTACTAGACTACAAAACATAATAATAATTATGTAACAGTAGTAAAGAGCTCTAGTAAGTTTAAATATCATTCAAACAATGATATATGGACTGGCTCTAAGGCATCAGGAATACCCACAATAGTGGCAGTTAACTATGAAATTTTTAATACTTTTTTGTATTTGTATTATGTTTTATAAATCATTTGATTAATTTTATCACAAAATAAACTATAGATTTCTGATCTAATCTCACATTGTATCCTAAAGGCGACGGAACATTTAGAGGCGTTCATTGCCGATTGTGATAGACGCACTACTGCGGCAAAACAGCGTCTCGCTGAGACTCAAGAAGAACTGTCTGCTGAAGTCACGGAAAAAGCAAATGCAGTCCATGAACTCGCCGAACAGATTGGACAAAAGCTCGCCAGGGCGGAGGCCCTTGGAGAGGAGGGAATGGTGGAAGAAAGTGTAAAACTCATGGGAGAGGTACGTATTGGTCGTTTAAATTACTGAAATCTTATTATATTGGGAAAAATTTAAATATGAATCTTATTTTTTAGATTGACGAGTTGCGTAAAAAGAAAGGCGTTGCTGAGCAGGAATACCGCAACTCAATGCCTGCGTCGTCATACCAACAGCAGAAGTTGCGTGTGTGCGAAGTGTGCTCCGCATACTTGGGTATCCATGATAACGACAGACGTCTTGCCGATCATTTCGGAGGGAAATTACATCTTGGATTTATCACTATACGTGAAAAACTTGCTGAATTGAAGGTAAAATAAATAGATATACAATTACATGCAGGAAACAACAACTTGGTAAAATATTATTGTTTAATTACTGTGGTGCATATTATGTTTCTTAGGTTTTCTTGTTAAATCTTATTTTTTTATATTAACATTATTATACATATTATATTTTTAGCTGAAGCAAAACAACTTATAGCTTTTAATTTTAACTATATTATGGGTTGTAAATAATTAGTATTGGTATCTATTTATACAATGTTGATAAAGAAAGGTCCAGGAAATTGTGGTTTTGCTGGCCTACAACGCGCAGACGATAGGTGACTTGAAACGATGTCACTTTACGTACGTTTTAGATACACTATTTCAAAATGTATTTAATGCTTATGATGTTTTCTATGAGCTGGTTTACACTATGTCGGGCTGAAATTCTGGATTGATAAATGTGATTACTGATTATTGAAGTAATTTTAGAATTGATTGAACTAGATTGATGGATTACAAGTGTTCAGGTTAGTTATTATTGACAACAGTAGTGTCCTTGTTCTGTTCGTGACAGTGTAAATCCTAACAAACGATAGTCAATTGATGGTAAAATTAAATTGTCGGCCCGATATAATGTTCACCAACGCTATCGTTATTGCTTGTATTGTTTTATTGGCTCAGCGTAATACTTATACACTTGAAAATGTCGACAGCTTTACTAATGTCTATGCAGTTCAGTGCATGGGTTAACCCTCTAAGGCACAGCATATTTTTTTGTTTTCGACCTTACAAAGTGAATAAGGCTTAAATTATGGTGGAAATATACATATTTGCCCAACGCAGAGCCTTACAAAGGTCACTAAGTCGCCCGAGGCAGTCGATTTTTTCGAGTAAAAACTTTCAATAATATTTTTTCAGCCCCGTCTTGTTATATTTTACAGAAAACCGTAGACAAGCGTCGCGAGGAGCGTGGGGCGTCTGAACGCGAGCGCGGCGGGGGCCGGCGGCACTACGTCGGCGGCCGCGAGCTGGACCGCCGCGCGCGCCGCCACCGCGAGACCGCGCGCGACCGGGACCGCGACCGCGACCGCGCCAAGGACGCCGACCGCGCGAAGGACGGCGAGCGGGAGCGGGAGCGCGAGCGCGGGAAGGACAGGGAGCGTGACCGCGACCGCGACAGGGAACGTGAGCGCGAGAAGAGGTAAGGAGACATTGTCGTGTTGTAAAAATCTAAACATCCTTTTAAATCGATGGCATTTCAAGCTTATCCATGTTTCAAGTTATGTAGTTGTGTTAGTTTCTGTTTTGCAATGGTAATGAAGTCTCATTGCAGTTTAAAGAAAAGCTATTGTGCATCTGTGTTTAATCTTGATTAATATTAAATAAATAAATAAATATCTTTGGACAATCTCACACAGCGCCATCTAGCCCCAAAGTAAGCAATTAATATGCTTGTGTTATGGGTACTAACTTAACGGATATACTACTTATATACATTTTTTTTTTAAATACATAAATATTATACATAGTAACACCCAGACCCGTCACAGAAATTAAAATTCATCATTTCAATTTCTGCCCGGCCGGGAATCGAACCCGGGACCTCTCGGCATAGTAGTCCGTTCTCTAAACCACTACACCAAACGGCCATTACATTGTTTGTCAGTCTTTTCACACATTTTGTGGAACTCCCGGCAGTTTTATTTTCATCTATGTCCCTTGGCCACTGAAATATGAAAATTAGGTTTGGCATGCCCTATTGCAAGTACATCATCTGTGCCAAATGACGTTTTAACGCAACATTAACTTTTCCAGGCGGACCAGGTCCCGCAGCAGAAGCAAGCGCGATGGCTCCCGCGAGAAGTCTCGCGGGCGGGAGCGCGACCGCGAGCGCGAGGCGCGCCGCAGCCGCTCGCACCGCTCGGGCTCGCGCGACCGCCGCCGCGACTGAGGCCGCGCCCGCCTACTTTGTTCCAACAAGGCGGCACGAATAACACATCGCACCTTCGGTAGAACAAGGGCACAATTGCACTTTTTGCAATTTTACAGGAGAGCTATTAATTATTAGCTACACATTTTTAAAGTATTTCTGCATACTTAACTCATTTCTGCAATTTTTGACAATTGTGCCCTTGTTCTACCGAAGGTGCGACATTATATCGATGATCGATGAACGCTTACAAATGATACTTTTCGTATCTATACAAACATTACCGTTAATTTATTCATAGGAGTAACGTGCTGCCTTATTTCGTAACAAGTATCGTTCGTGCCAGCCTTCTGAAACAAACCTATACCTAGCGACATTTTTCGCGTCTCATTAGATATCTAAACATTTCCAATTTAAAGTTAATTTCGTTTTGCTTTTAGTTCCTATGATACGAGTGGTTTGTTTGTAATCCAATTTAATAAAAGTTGAGGTAACTTTGACATAAATGTATTCTCTTACTTTAGCCTATGTTCTTTTAAGTAGTTTTCTTTGTTCGGATTTTCGATTTCGTTTAAATAATTCATAACTTTTCATACGTTTGTGTCAATTTTTCTTTTTTTTTATTAACATGGATTTATACAGACTTAAGACTGCGTGCTACACGCTTATTTGATACGCCGGTTACGACTGTTGAAGTGCGTTACACTTGGTATGGCTTACGGATGTGCCTAGGACGCACTTTTTATTAAGCTCGAGAAACACTAGGCATATCGAGACTCCACTGGTACAATTTTAACTGGTAACCAGAAGCGAGCAATAGGTTGTGCTGCAATCAATATTGCACTTATCTTTTTAGGTCGATTATATGTTGAATATTTTCTTACTTTTGTGCGATGCGTCTATATTATACATAATCTGGTGCTGACAAGACCTGTCGTAGTAAAACCTAAAAAAAAATTATGCCACTTATTTTGTTTTCTGTTACATCGACTACCTCCTAAATTGGTCCGGGTCTGTGAGATCGCATGCCTTTTCGTGCAGGGTGTTTTAGTCCAGCCATATCCATATAATGTTAATGATTTTGTCGAATGTGCCAAATCAGATAAGGGTGTTGCATGTTTAGATTGACAGACAAAAGCAATATTTGGATAGTTTGTAATCCACTCGATAGATTGTTTGTTGTTTATAATAATAAGCATAAGAATAATTTTGCAATAAGAGGTGTGATTTAATAATTTAGTGGCATGTAGGTTTATGCATGGTTGACATGTGTGAGTATAATTACATAAAATTACAATTTATTTTGTAATAAAGATATTTATCACATTCAGTTGTAGGTAGCTGTTAATGTTTAGACTGAAATTAAAATGAAATCGAGGATGGTGGGTGGCTGAGTTTGTAAAGTCTTGAAATTTAATCTCGTAGTTTTTTATTTTTAGGTTAACTATAAGTTTCAGGGAAATTATGTTTTGGCTTATTTTACTTTGTATTTAGTTTGACGTTATTTTCTGAGTATACATCAAAGGCTTTACAAGATAAGCTCAAAACCACATTTTATCTCTAACAAGAAACATTCATCAGTTTAGGTAGAAAATAATACTATCTATGTTTTATTAGGATTTAAATGTTTGACTTTTTAGTTTTATTCAAAATGCACTTTGCCTTGTATATTTCATTTTTATCGATTTTTGTGATATGAAGGATATTTATAAACATGTCATAATAAGTAAATATGTCAGCGATAGCACAACGAGTTGAATGGAATACCCCGAGCATTCAAATTACGGAAGTTACTTTATGTAAAAATGCTATAAAGGATGTGCTACATATTTTTTGTTATTATAATAAATCGGTATGTTAGAAAATCATTTTTCTTTTATTAATCCCTAGATCACTCTGAAACATTACATTGCAGGCTAGTGCTGCCTCCTCCATGCTCTTACTCTTTCTTTCACACTTATTTATCCATACGGCTAAAGCCTCTTCCGTGAGCACGTAGAATTTTGTCCAAGACGCCAAGCTACCCATCCTTATCGCTCGCGCGTAATTATGTTGCTGTCGCGCTCGCATCGCACACTCACTGCGGGCGCCCGTCAGTCGCGACAGCAATATAATTACGCGCGAGCGATAAGGATGGGTAGCTTGGGGTCATTGGACAAAATTCTACGTGCTCACGGCACGGACCAGGCTTTAGCATGAAAATCTTTCGAGGTCGAGACGAGAACGTATTTTCTTACTATTCGATACGTTTGTATTTGGTAGCACAAAAGACTTTCGACCTACTAACGTCGCAAATGCCTTTGTAGTAATAAAAAGAGAAATGTGGCTGCATACGACAACAGTCGAAATTAGAAGATGTCGTGACTGTACAAGTCTAATTTTTTAGAAATCAGCAGAAAAGTAATCAAATATGGCCAACTGACATAAAAATATTTTTAGTCTGTGAACTAGTGATGCGGGGTAGATCCGCCGATTTTATTCCGCGGGATTTATTTTACGTTTTTTGAAAAACTTAACAGGGATGCGTGCAAACTAGCTTAAACTGAAAGGTTAAGCAATAAGCTTTTTAGATCAGTGTGAGGCCCTTAGATTCAATCGTGATTTTAGAAGTAACAAGTGTCCAAATATTTTTTCACAAAATGGTAATGACGTTTTCCTAATGGTAATGATTTTATTAAAATGGTAAGATCTTATGTCAATGGTGATGACGAAATATATTTTATAGTAATACATTAAATTAAAATTACTTAAAAACTAAAATTTAAATATAATTGTTTAGCTAAACACCAATTTTATCTATGTTNTTAATAGAAGGGTCATCTTTGGAATTATTTTCTACCGAGAAAATTGTTCCCATTCATGTTTTGGCTCTAGCCACATACTAGATTTATTTGTCAACTATAACATATTTCAAAATAAGAACATAAGATAAAGGAAAAGTACGATTAAAACTAATTCTGCGCTTCTTTAAAACGCCCAATATTCGCAAGGCATCACCTTAATATTGTGTTTTTATACGAGGTCTGTCTGCTTTTTGCTTTGGCGATCTGTCGACATATTCTCTGCTTTGTTTTTTTTGTGAAGTTTCGTGATCAATAACCGATTGATTTGTGTTGACCCGTGCTAGTAATTGGACTGTTTGATTGCCTTTTTATTGACCTCCGCTCGATTACTGAACCATGCCTCTCAAAATAGTTCTTATATTTACTTANACTTTTCAATAAATTACCACAAACTGTTGTAGAATTGCCCATTCATAAATTTAAAGCACATATCAAAAGCACCTTAATGAAAAAGGGCTACTATAAAGTTGATGATTATATAAAGGATAAAAATGTTTGGAATGTTTAACTACCTAGCTCGCATTAATACTTATGACTATAATTTGTATATTTTAAAGACTGTAAAACCTTGAAAAGGAGGCTGACAATAGTGACTGAGTTTCTTGCGCTGCTTCTTCTCAGCACTGGCCCATTTATTGTCCCGAAGCAGTGGTAGGGTTAATATTGGGACGTGTAAAAGCGCTTTTTTAAAGCCTATTTGCAAAAATAAATGAATTTTATGAATTTTTAATTTATACCCCACACGACGTGTGTTTGACGAAAAAAAATTTTTTGAGTTTCAGTTCTAAGTATGGGAATGGGGAGCCCCCAATATTTTTTATTATTGCATCAAAATCTTAATGCGGTTCACAGAATACCATCTACTTACCAAGTTTTAACAGTATAGCTCTTATAGTTTCGGAAACAAATGGCTGTGACATACGGACGGACAGACAGACAGACAGACAGACATGACGAATCTATAAGGGTTACGTATTTTGCCATTTGGCTACGGAACCCTAAAAAGGAATCCACGCGTACGAAGTCGCGGGCGGCCGCTAGTAGATAATAATACTGTAAAGTTTCATCAAAATCCGTTCAGTAGTTTTTGCGTGAAAGAGTAACAAACATCCAGACAACCAAACTTTCGCATTTATAATATTAATAGGATTAAAGACATGCATTTATATTTTTTTCTTACATTGAGTAAAATACCCTATTACAGCTCTACGATTAAGAGAGTTGTTTATGTTTGGGGGCTTCATTAATCTAAGGCTTGGGGTAATAATGATACATTGAATGATTTTTATAGGTTGCGTGATCTTCCTGGAGTACGAACCGGAGTCATATGATCAGACCGTGATGTTGGTGGGCAAAGTGAGTCTACCATCACTGATAGATAATAAAGTAAAATAATCAATTGTTTAGTACTTCGTTAAAATGGTACTTTATTTGGATTATTCCACATTGTTCCTGCCTGGGCTGGGTGAAGAAAGTGGAATTTTAAGTGTCCTCATTTCACTTCGGAACCATTTCACTCAGGTGAGTCGATTCTACTAAAGCGGATAGATGGCTTTGTTCATCTAGGAATTAATTCACTCAGGTGAACAAATGCGACTTTTTTCATTGATCAAGTGGATTTTATCACCCGCATACTTACATTATGTTAATTTCATAAAATATAAACTTCGGATACTTTACACCTTTTATTTTTTGATTCCAAAATACATTTATTACAATTTACAACTAGGACTATATACGTAGGGATTTGAGGTCTTTACTGTGCCAATGCTACAACCCAATTAGCTCCTGTCCGGCGGCATGCCAGCGATCACGTCACTTCCCCTTCCATTCGTCAAAATCGATCAGCTCAAACGACTTATCGACGGCATACCCCGGAAGTAGTCAAGTACAATATTTAATTAAAAATAATAGTTGATTTTTATTTCTACAATACTAAACTGTATACAATAAAAATTCTAGAATATTTACATTAAATAATAATCAAATATTAAATGTGGAATAATCGACTATAATACAGAATACATTTTAAAATCATTCTAATATCTGCAACATGTCCAGGAAGTAATCAAATAAAGTTCTTTAATTTAATAATGGATTTTTAGGTTTTACGTTACAAAACAATACCTAATCGTATAAAATACAATATAAATTCTTAAATCATTACATTAAATTCTCAAATTAAGAGGCATTCAATATTAAAATCAGTTTAATGTTAATTAATTTCTTAGTGAACAAAAGCGACTGCGTTAATCGACTCAATTAACCTGGAAAATGAAATTGGGTGAAATGGTTCGGATGTGAAATGAGGACACTAAAAATTCAATTTTCACTCAGATGAACAAAGTGGAATAATCCCTTCATTTGAGGACGTATTAGTATGAGTATGAATACAAAATATTGATTATTCAGATTATATTTCAATATAGGTGTTTTTGTGGAATTTACTTAATCTGAAAAGTCGTGTGCCCGTATTTACGTTCAAGATTTGATTGATTCTGCGAAGTAATGCAACAGTACAGATACGCCCACGTGTTGCAGGGCGTGACGTACGACACGGGCGGCTGCGACATCAAGGCGGGCGGCGCGATGGCCGGCATGTCGCGCGACAAGTGCGGCGCCGCGGCCGTCGCCGGCTTCCTCAAGGCAAGCGCTCGTCGTGTTGCAGGGCGGGACGTGCGACATCAAGGCGGGCGGCGCGACGGTCGGCGTGTCGCGCGACAAGTGAAAAATGTCAAAAACCACAGTCACAATTAATATTTTTTCGAATTTCGTAGTAGATTCGCATCCAACGTGCTCGCGTGTGAGGCGCGAACTGTGTGATTCGTTCCGTTTAAAAATAAACAGAAGGGTCACGAGACCCGCCTCTCGAATCACCGCCCGTCGTGCGCAGGCGTGCGAGCTGCTGCGGCCGCGGCTGCGCGTGCTGGCGGCGCTGGGCGTGGTGCGCAACTCCGTGGGCGAGGAGGCGTACGTGGCGGACGAGCTGCTGCGCTCCCGGCGCGGCGACTCCGTGCGCGTGGGCAACACGGACGCCGAGGGCCGGCTCGTCATGGCCGACCTGCTGGCCGAGATGCACGAGCGCGCGCGCGGCCTGCCCGGCGCGCACATCTACAGCGTGGCCACGCTCACGGGCCACGCGCACCGCGCCTACGGCGACGGCTACACGGCCGCGCTCGACAACCACGCGGCGCGCGGCCACGCGCAGCGCCTGCAGGCGGCCGGCGAGCAGCTGGGCGACATGATCGAGGTGACGCGCCGACCGTCTCTGAATTCTGAAACGTTTCAAAATTTCATTTTTAGACTACAGTTTTGAAGCACAACTTTTTTTACGAGGCGCTTCATTCTGGTCTTAAAAACTTAATTAATTTTAAATCACCTGTAAATTAGAAATTTTCCCTTCTGACCCACCGTCGATCGATCGGTGCAGCGGTGGGGGCGAATACCCCATCACGACCGCACGAGCGTGGCCACTGAACCGACATCCCCGCCGGCAGGTGTCGACCATCCGGCGCGAGGACCTGGCGGCGCACCGCGGGCGCGGCGACGAGCGCCTGCACCAGGCCGACCCGCGGCCCTCCACCGCCACGCCGCGCGGCCACCAGGCGCCCGCCGCCTTCCTGCTGCTGACCGCCGGGCTGCACGCCGGCGCCGCGCGCTACACGCACCTCGACGTGGCCGCCAGCGCCGGCGACCTGCCGCGCGCGCCCACCGCCGCGCCGCTGCTGGCGCTCGCCGCGCACTACAAGCTGCTCTCCGTGTGACGCGGGCCCGCCCCGCCCGGCCCGCCGGGCCCGCCCCGCCCGCCGGGCCCGCCCCGCCCGCCGGGCCCGGCCCCCCGCCGGCCCTACAAGCCGCTCTCCGTGTGACCGCCCAGGCGTCCGCACGCTCTAACGAAACAGTACAATAATATTGCATAATATTTTACACGTTATACTTTATACTATCGATTTATAACTATTTACGATATATTATATTTTATTACACAAATGTTTTTTAATAAACGGAGTAATAAATTGTTTGAGATTACGGTTTCATTACCCCGATGATTGCTCCTCGATTCTACGGTGTTCCTGCATGATCTTCCGATACTTTACCCACCTATTCTTTGTTAAAGAAGAACGGTCATCTGTGACCCAGACCTGACAAAAACGAGACATCTGTCTGTCTGTCTGTCCGTCCGTCCGTGTGTCACACACAGGCACTTTTTTCCGAAACTACACTCGCGAGCAAAATAGTATGGAATAACTTACATGAAGTTGTTTCCGCGCGATCTTGTGTACTAACTTTTCGACACTCGCAAAGGAATCAAAACCTACAGGATACTTCCCGTAAACTCAGAATCTTGAAATTTGGCATAAAGCATTGTCATATAATGCAAATATAGGAAAAATTGCGAAAATTACATTTTTTTAGTTATTATAATATAATTAAAATATTTTAATAAAAAAACATACACTAAAAAGTTGAAAAATAATTACTAATTACTTATTTATTAGAACGAATTAATATTTATGTATAGCCTGACCAGGAACATAAAAACCCTGGCATAGANGTCACCCTGTATATTTCAACCTTGTGTAGTGACTTCACTTTGCTCCATTTTGTCAGATGTCCTTAGAACAATAAATTGCTTTATTTGATTATTAAAATCAGACTGTAACAAATTGTGTTTGATTTTAGAAGAGTCATCTCATCATATGGATTTGTCAGGAACAAGCACCAAAGCTGAAATAGAGCAGGGAATCAAGAGACTTTCTCAAAAAGATTATACTATGTAAGTACTCAGTGAAATACTGTTATCAAAACAATTTACCTATACGAATAACCTTCGACATTCTACACTGCGTCATCTAATGTCCATATGGGTACAACGGATATAGAAAATAAATTTTATAAAATCCGATTTGTATGAAAATTAAAATAATTAAAATAAAGATATCAATTTTCTGACTTCACCATACCATTTATATGACCATGTTAACCTGGGCTAGTGTCGGCTCATATACCCATTTACCTAACAACTAAATAAANTGTAAAAAAGACAGCACATTTCTACTTCCATAATCCATAAACCAATAGCAATACTGTTCTGGTATTTATGTGGGGATGCTTCAACCACATCCTGATATGAAATGGAATCGAAATTTGACCCTGCAGTTTTGAGACAAATCATTGAATATTTTTGCGCACAGTTCTTAACGAAAAATTACGAAAGTCTGCGCCCGCGCTAATTGCTATAATCCGGTAATTGCTGAATTGAAATGCATAGAAAAATACATAATATAGGTACCTACAGAATCACCCAGACCAATATAAGTGTATCGAATCCGCGACCTCTGGTATATTATTCGGCTCTACGAACCACTACACCAAACGAATCGAAAAGTCAAAACATCGAACATTAAAAATATCGAATTGTTATTATTATATCGAAAACTCAAATCATCGAATGATTAGGTACGCGTGTTTTGCCCTACACAATCAACAAAAACATGTCAACATTGTAAAAAAATTGAAATATCAAAAAATATTGGACACGTATAATATTTTTAATTGTCAATCAAACATATAATTACAAAGTTATGTTGCGTTGAAGTTCCGCGCGGCGCACAGTAGTTTGATATTAAAAAAACCGGCCAAGTGCGAGTCGGGCTCGCGCACAAAGGGTTCCGTAGCAGCAAATATAATAAACTTCTTATGTCAATTTAATCAACCTATCTCAAAAACTATAAGAGATACTTTGATCAAACCAAAAATCGTTGAAAGAGTTAATTAGCATGCATCACCTCTATTTTTTTTAGAATTTTATACCCCGTAGTTATAAAAATAGAGGGGGGGGGACATACTTTTTACGACTTTGAGAGCTGATATCTCAAAAACCGTTCACTTTAAGAAAAATGTTTTTTAGAAAACTTTATATCATTTTAAAAGACCTTTCCATTGATACCCCACACGGGTATGTACATCGAAAAAAAATTTTCATCCCTCAGTTACATGTATGGGGGGCCCCACCCCCAATTCTTTTTTTTACTATTTAGTGTCATAATTTTGTAGCGGTTCATACAACACATATTCCCATCAAATTTCATCACTGTAGTACTTATAGTTTCCGAGTAAATCGGCTGTGACAGACGGACAGACGGACAGACGGACAGACGGACAGACGGACAGAGATCTATTGTCCCTTTAAGAAGTAAAAAAATCAAACTTCTAAGTTAACGCGATCAAAAGATACAGCAGTTTATACCGACACCTTAGACGAATTTCCGTCACACGCTAGGGAATCAAAACCTACAAGGTACTTCCTGTGAACTCAGAATCTTGAAATTCGGCACGAAGCAATGTTATATAGTACAGATAAAGGAAAAATTGCGAAAATGATAAATTTGAAGTTTTATAAAATTTAAAATATTATTTTTGCTTACATGACATAAAATATTTTTTTAATAATTATAAACTTACTACCTACCCTTTTTCACATGAACGCGTAGAGATATTATCTAAAGTTGAAATTCATATCAAACACTTCTTAAATCTAATTGCCTCTAAACTGTGAGAAATTCTAAATCAACGCAAAAATTCAAAACGCTGAGATAGGTACCTACCTATAATGCAAATATAGGAAAAATAAATAAATAAAAAATAATCATACCGCATATTTTGAAATTCGCCACTACTCGCAACGGAATCAAGTACCTAAGTAATTTGATTTAATACGTCATAAATTGTAAACCGCTACGTTTGTACGGCGGAACCCTCGGTGTGCGAGTCCGACTCGCACTTGGCCGGTTTTTTTATAAAATATTATTGGTTTTGCTGCTGCAACGTTATTTCATTAATCTGCTGTGTTGTCGATTAAAATCATAATGACTAATTTAATTAAAGGACAAAAGTGCGCAACTTTTACCACCTATTATGCCACTATTAAAAATAATTATAATACAAACATTCCTCTTTTAAAAAGACGTTAAAATGGCAAAATTAATACAAATATTCTACCTTTTAAAAGGCCAAAAAAATTAAAATATTACAAAGCTTCCTTTTTCAAAAAAGGAAAAAAAAATATAAGAAATGGTTAAAAAAAGTAATACAAATATTCTTTTTTTTTTAAAAGGCCAAAAAGAGATTACAAACCTTCCTTTTTTGAAAATGAAAAAAAATAAATAAGAAAATATGGTAAAAGTAATACAAACATTCTATTTTTAAAAAAGAATAAAATAAATTACAAATATTCGACTTTTGAAATAGCATAAAAAATGTGCCAAAATCAATTCGACAAGTTATTTTTTTGTTTAACGTCCAGGAAATGCATTAAACTGCATAAAACCCACCAGCCGTGGGGGCCCAGCTTCGGCAGGTTATGTGGGGCTCTCCCCGCCAGAAGGGCGAGGCCTACCCACTAAAACCTGACGGCGTTCTCGAAATCATGATTATGTTACTTAAGTTAGTTCACAATAATTTACCATTTAAACTTTTGTTAATAGGGTTAGTGGTTTAGTAAACTTTATATTACTGTGTTGTAACCTCATCACCCACCCACTTACAGCAGCTGGCGCGGAACGCTCGCGCGTCGCCGCGAGTACCTGTGGGCTCCCGCGCCCCCGACGGTTTGCCAAGCGGTGCCCATGAGGGTGGAGTGGTGAGGAAAATCAACATCAATATCAGTCGATAGAGTTCTCTTCTCTTCAACTTTATGCAAGCGTCACAAATACGATGACGAGCCATTTTGGGATCCCTACAGGACAAGATCTGTTTTATGTTTTCAGGATGCTGATATAGGAAGCTTTTTGCCTTCACACTAATGTATGTATTGCACAAATGTTTCAGAATGTGTCATAGTTCACACCACATCCTAAAGTCTTATTTGTGTTTATAAACATCTTTAAGTTATCAACTTGATTATATTAATCTCCCCTTAGTGTCCTTACATTTCACTTCAGTTCAATTTTAATACTCTCATTCGACACCATTCCTGTCGTGCTCTCTTACCACCCTGGAATCGTAAATTTAATTTACTTAACGCTATAAACAAACGTAAACTGAAAAATTGTTCTCTAAGATTTTCCAATTTCATTATTTTGGTTTACTTTGCAGTTGTTATTATTAAATTGATATTTTTTACAAGCTTTTATTAAACTTTCAATGTTACTACCTATGTTATGATGTATGTCTTGGGTTAAATATTGCAGGTTGAATTAGACCCATTTCTTGATAACCGATTGAGCTGAAATTTTTCATACATGTGTAATTCAGATATCAATCCAATATAATGATGTCATGGAGCTGGTCTGATGATGGAACCGGAAGGTGGCCATAGGAACTCAGTAACGAAGCGATGAAACCGTATCGAGTTTGGGCTCGTTCGATTTGTCTTAAAAAGTACTCAGATCTTAAATGATTTCCAGGGTCTGATCTGATGATGAAGTTGGAGGTGGTCATTGGAACTCAGTAGCGAAACGATGGAACCCTATCGAATTTGGGCTCGTTTGATTTGTCTTGACAAGTACTCTGGTCTTGAATGATATCCAGGATCTGCTCTGATGATGGAACCGGAAGGTGGCCATAGGAAATCAGTAACGAATCGATGAAACCCTATCGAGTTTGGGCTCGTTTTATTTGTCNTTCGACACTCGCAAAGGAATCAAAACCTACAGGATACTTCCCGTAAACTCAGAATCTTGAAATTTGGCATAAAGCATTGTCATATGATGCAAATATAGGAAAAATTGCGAAAATTACATTTTTTTAGTTATATAATATAATAAAAATATTTTAATAAAATGAAACTTACTACCTTATTTCTCACGAACGAATAAAGGTATCAAATTGAAATTTATACCAAATACCTAGATCTATTGTCCCTTTAAGAAGTAAAAAAAACAAACTTCTAAGTTAACGCGATCAAAAGATACAGCAGTTTATACCGACACCTTAGACGAATTTCCGTCACACGCTAGGGAATCAAAACCTACAAGGTACTTCCTGTGAACTCAGAATCTTGAAATTCGGCACGAAGCAATGTTATATAGTACAGATAAAGGAAAAATTGCGAAAATGATAAATTTGAAGTTTTATAAAATTTAAAATATTATTTTTGCTTACATGACATAAAATATTTTTTTAATAATTATAAACTTACTACCTACCCTTTTTCACATGAACGCGTAGAGATATTATCTAAAGTTGAAATTCATATCAAACACTTCTTAAATCTAATTGCCTCTAAACTGTGAGAAATTCTAAATCAACGCAAAAATTCAAAACGCTGAGATAGGTACCTACCTATAATGCAAATATAGGAAAAATAAATAAATAAAAAATAATCATACCGCATATTTTGAAATTCGCCACTACTCGCAACGGAATCAAGTACCTAAGTAATTTGATTTAATACGTCATAAATTGTAAACCGCTACGTTTGTACGGCGGAACCCTCGGTGTGCGAGTCCGACTCGCACTTGGCCGGTTTTTTTATAAAATATTTTTGGTTTTGCTGCTGCAACGTTATTTCATTAATCTGCTGTGTTGTCGATTAAAATCATAATGACTAATTTAATTAAAGGACAAAAGTGCGCAACTTTTACCACCTATTATGCCACTATTAAAAATAATTATAATACAAACATTCCTCTTTTAAAAAGACGTTAAAATGGCAAAATTAATACAAATATTCTACCTTTTAAAAGGCCAAAAAAATTAAAATATTACAAAGCTTCCTTTTTCAAAAAAGGAAAAAAAAATATAAGAAATGGTTAAAAAAAGTAATACAAATATTCTTTTTTTTTTAAAAGGCCAAAAAGAGATTACAAACCTTCCTTTTTTGAAAATGAAAAAAAATAAATAAGAAAATATGGTAAAAGTAATACAAACATTCTATTTTTAAAAAAGAATAAAATAAATTACAAATATTCGACTTTTGAAATAGCATAAAAAATGTGCCAAAATCAATTCGACAAGTTATTTTTTTGTTTAACGTCCAGGAAATGCATTAAACTGCATAAAACCCACCAGCCGTGGGGGCCCAGCTTCGGCAGGTTATGTGGGGCTCTCCCCGCCAGAAGGGCGAGGCCTACCCACTAAAACCTGACGGCGTTCTCGAAATCATGATTATGTTACTTAAGTTAGTTCACAATAATTTACCATTTAAACTTTTGTTAATAGGGTTAGTGGTTTAGTAAACTTTATATTACTGTGTTGTAACCTCATCACCCACCCACTTACAGCAGCTGGCGCGGAACGCTCGCGCGTCGCCGCGAGTACCTGTGGGCTCCCGCGCCCCCGACGGTTTGCCAAGCGGTGCCCATGAGGGTGGAGTGGTGAGGAAAATCAACATCAATATCAGTCGATAGAGTTCTCTTCTCTTCAACTTTATGCAAGCGTCACAAATACGATGACGAGCCATTTTGGGATCCCTACAGGACAAGATCTGTTTTATGTTTTCAGGATGCTGATATAGGAAGCTTTTTGCCTTCACACTAATGTATGTATTGCACAAATGTTTCAGAATGTGTCATAGTTCACACCACATCCTAAAGTCTTATTTGTGTTTATAAACATCTTTAAGTTATCAACTTGATTATATTAATCTCCCCTTAGTGTCCTTACATTTCACTTCAGTTCAATTTTAATACTCTCATTCGACACCATTCCTGTCGTGCTCTCTTACCACCCTGGAATCGTAAATTTAATTTACTTAACGCTATAAACAAACGTAAACTGAAAAATTGTTCTCTAAGATTTTCCAATTTCATTATTTTGGTTTACTTTGCAGTTGTTATTATTAAATTGATATTTTTTACAAGCTTTTATTAAACTTTCAATGTTACTACCTATGTTATGATGTATGTCTTGGGTTAAATATTGCAGGTTGAATTAGACCCATTTCTTGATAACCGATTGAGCTGAAATTTTTCATACATGTGTAATTCAGATATCAATCCAATATAATGATGTCATGGAGCTGGTCTGATGATGGAACCGGAAGGTGGCCATAGGAACTCAGTAACGAAGCGATGAAACCGTATCGAGTTTGGGCTCGTTCGATTTGTCTTAAAAAGTACTCAGATCTTAAATGATTTCCAGGGTCTGATCTGATGATGAAGTTGGAGGTGGTCATTGGAACTCAGTAGCGAAACGATGGAACCCTATCGAATTTGGGCTCGTTTGATTTGTCTTGACAAGTACTCTGGTCTTGAATGATATCCAGGATCTGCTCTGATGATGGAACCGGAAGGTGGCCATAGGAAATCAGTAACGAATCGATGAAACCCTATCGAGTTTGGGCTCGTTTTATTTGTCATGACAAGTACTCTGGTTTTGAATGATATCCAGGATCTGATATGATGATGAAGTCGGAGGTGGCCATTGGAACTCAGTAGCAAAACGATGGAACCCTGTTGAGTTTGGGCTTGATTGATTTGTCTTGACAAGTACTCTAGCTGTTCTTGAATGATGTTCAGGATTGGATCTGATGATGGAGTCGGAGGTGGCCATTGGCCAAAACGATGAGTCAAAGTGGAGTGAAAGTAAAAATCGTTCAAAATTTTAAGGAAATAACATATTTTGATTAACTAATTGACGCCGACTGTACCAATGAAATAAAGAATATTCGTTTTCTTCTTAGTTATAACTACAGAATAGTAATTTCTTCTGTGAGTTTAACTTAACCGATTGAGTCCCAGGACGGCATTAATTAATGTCATAACAATTGATTATCTATTGTGTCTAGATTCGCGGAGCTTGATGGATTAAAAGACTTAATCTCTTCTTAATTGAATCATCGTTTTGTAATAATATCCACGTATCTTTTTTTCTGCGTGACAAAGCAGTTTAAAAGCTTGATATTATGTAAATAATATATCAAGCTTTTTTTTAAACTGCTTTGTCACGACGTCTGCTTGAAAAGTAATGATACAAATCGTATTTTATTAATCAGGCACACGCACTCTCGTGAGCCTACGCAGCGCTAAGTCTATCCGATTAGTGCACTACATCACTGTTGTTACCTGGGCTGTATGTACTGTACTGTACTGGAAATACATTCTGTATTTATAGTTCTGGCATATTTATGTCCTAGTTCTGGCTTACAAAGTGATTAATTGACGGACCACGCGCCTAAACCTTGAATTTTTCCCCCTTTGTTCCTTTGATTCTTGTTCCTTTGTTCCTTTGATTTTCAAGAGCTAAAATGTGAAGTAAAGTTTTAAAAGAATATTGGATAACTTGAGAAAAGGACACAGTCGAATGCACTGTACCAAAAATTATACGTAAAGTGGTTTATGAAAACTTTATATAAAAGAGAGAGAGCTTTTGCGCAGCGTTTTTTTTTGAAGTCGGTTTTATTTTTTTTTATAAAATTTTACTTATTTCTTGCTTTTTAGTTAACTAATTATTACCTTGATGTTACCACTGAAGGTAGGCAGTACATTGAGACCATATTCTTAATGTATATTATAAAAAAGTTCATCCCCAATTTTCCACCCTTGGGGGTGAAATATTTTCTTCAAATTCGCATGAAACCACCCTTTTGATAATACCTATTCAACAAAAAAATAATCGTTCAAATTGGTTCATAATCGGCGGAGATTATNCGGCGTTATAAAGTGTTGCACTTTTAAGCACTCATTGACGACACGGGCCTCTTCTTTTGAACTATGGCGCGCTGTATCTCTTTCAATTTTCATTAGTTTGAAAAAGTGAAAAATACGTGTTGAGTATTTTTTTTAACTGACGGACTAATAAAATTTTGCTTTTTTACCCAGGAAACATATCCTTCCCTATTGCCTACAAAATTTTGTTACTTTTGGCTTAACTTATTGATTCTGCATTAAGTATTATTAATAATAAAAAACCTGTATTGACAAGTAATTAATATTATATCTTTTTTTTTTCTTTCATAAAATATGAAGTTTTTCAACTTTATCTTTGAATCTCAAACAAAAAGTAAATAGAGGGAATGGCTGGCTAGTTATCCATTATTCCTTAATACAATCATTATTTAATAAATTAATGTTTTTCTTTTATTTAATAAATCTTTTGTTATACAGAACTGCTACGGAAGAACCATCACCAAAGAAATTAAAAGACGAGTCTTACAATGAAGAACAGACAATTTATGAACAAAATGGGGTACTTAGCAAATACCGTGATGAACTAAGTCAACTGGAGAAAGTAATTTTGCGTGACATACTTAAGAGAAATGGTCAGAACGTATCTAAAAGCGAGGTATGAGTTATTATATATAACATTTTCAATGTATCGCTGTTGGTTTCAGAGGTATGATTTATTTATAGCTAGGTGATCAAAGGACACTAAATAATAATTTAACTGGAGTCCAATTTGATCACCCAGGGCATCGTATCCGTGGTTGATCAAAGGACACTAAATTGTCGCTGGAAGTCCACTTTAATCACCTGGGTGATCAAGGCCAGGTGATCAAAGTGGAATAGACCGATTGTTTAGCTCCATGTGCCATCGTCTGTACAAAGTTGAAGGTACTAAGGTACGCGTTGTGTTCACTGTTACAAAAAATGTTTTAAGCTCTTCTTACATTAATTTTTTAGGTCCTTACCTATGAAATTGGGATGATGTGTATAATTTTGTTACAGATGTTAGACCATCTAGCAGATTGTTTGGCATTCGGCGCATTTGAACTATGCCCAGAATGCAAAGGGCAACTTGTGTTTGGCGATTATGTTTATAAATGCAAAGGTACTGAAAATTTTGTAGCCTTACGCTTATTAGTTTTAGCCAAATGATGTCCGTCCACTGGCCGTAGGACAGAAGGCCGTTGGGCCAAAAAAGTTATCGAGTGGCGACCACACGAATCGAAATCAAGCAGGCCTCCCATTCGGTTGACCGACAACCTGAATAGAGGCAGGACTGCTCGTTGCGGAAACCTTCGGGGGAGGCCTTTGTCCAACAGTGGACGTCTTTTGCTTGAAACGAGTCAAGTTCAATTTTTACAGATAGTAGCACAGAATAATAATAAGTACTACGTACAGAAGTTTTACTTCGCGAAGGTATTTAAAAAAATGTATGCTCAATGTCATTATCAATATGGTGTAATTTAGCCTGTCTCAAGAGTCAAGCACCATTTTGTTGACAAACGTCAGTGATCGGCACTGCGCCGAAGCTATAGGGCTGACTTCGGTAAAATGATGTGACGTGAGGTGCCAAACTGCGGAAAATGGCGGAGGAAATAGATGATTTAGCATTAATTATCATGAAAAATATTAACTACTTATTTACCTCTCAGTGTCTTGAGACAACTTAAAAAAGTACATTCTGTGTTTTTATTATTATTTAGGCAGTTAAATACTGCACAGTATTTAGTATACCATTTTCTTTATTTTCTTCCATCATACACAAGAATACGCGTGCGTGAGTCAATGTTCGCTCGTATGTGAGGCCTTGTCGAATAGTATCCTGTAGGTGGGATATCGTGCGTGTTTTGTTTTCGATGTAAACTCGCGGAGATGAACAGGCCTGATAGTAGCTACCTGCACTTATCATTCATCATCAACCAAAATCATTATCATTATACAGCTCATTATTTTTCGTAGGTGACTACGATGAATGGTCAAAATGTCCTTACAAAACCAAAATCCCTAAGAGGAGACCAATGATAGTGCCAAGTGAATATGAACACTATCCTATATTCACTAACTACAAGCCTTGTGTGGACACCCGTGTATTACTAACTGCACCAGAAGTCTTCAGGTAAGATTACCTGTAGACTATAGTTCTAGCGCCTCTGTCAGTACCTGAGGTATGGGAGCCGCACGGGAACGTTCTATACGTATAACTGGAGTGATATTGACATATTATGACGTAACAGAGCATAAAATCTGCAGCATAATACAGGGTGTTTAGCGGAAGGTTAGACAAATTTCGTGGGTGTATAGATAAAGTCATTTTAAGAATACTGGTTCGCCCATTTGACCCTAAGTGAGCTACTTTTTTTTTTAATTTATATTTTTGTTTTTATTTAAGTTTTTCCAAAATTTGACCTAAAAACTGCTTCAATTTTTTTTCTCGCGAGAATTCAACTGGTTTTTTGTCTTTAGTCAAATAAAACAAACTTCAGATCCAGATAATGATTGCATAGACAGTTACGAGCCGTCAAAGTTTAACTAAAGTACAAACCACGATAAAAAAATCAACTTAGAACTCGATTAAAAAAAAATAATGGTGATAATGAATTGCCAGTTATCTTAAAAACATCTCTAGCTTCTCTTCTTTCCAATGATATATCACATGTAGTATTGAAATTCGTCAAAGATTTAAATTTTATGGAACAAAAATGGAATAATAATACAAAAAATATTCCGCCAAACATTCTGTATAATCTGAAGTCTCATTGAAGTTTGACGTTTCAAAAACTCCCGCCCCTGGGAGCGGCTCCCATACCTCAGGCACTGATTGAGTTAAGCGCTTAACCAATAGTATTGTCAAATACAAATATGTACATCAGTAATCGATGCTGAAGGCATTTGCATTTGAAAACTATTATGTTATAACGTTTTTCTTATTATCAGCATTAAGGAAGAAATCCATCCACTGAAGGATTTACAATTCTTTTTGTTCGGAAACTTGAAGACGCCTAAAGAGACGTTAGAAGATCGCATCTCAAAGATGGGTGGGCATATTGTCAGCACGCTAACTAACACGGTGGCAGCTGTCGTCTCCACGAAAGAGGCAGTCGAAGAAATGTCTGATGACATGAAGGAAGTACGGCTGCAAGATATTGAGGTAACTAATAATTACTGAGTTGCACCATCTTACTTTAACTTTGACAAACGTCAAAAATCTGTCAAACTCCGTACAAAAAGCACCGGTAATCGTCATAGTTACGGTCAAAGTTAGGTGGTGCAACTCAGCCTAAGAGTGTAAAAATATTATTTTGTTTAGGGTCATTGTCATATCAATTAAAAACCTGGTCCTAATGTAAAATTTTTAGACGCGACAAATAGCCCATTTTCGATTACTTGTATAGTTTAAAAATAATCGAGTGAGATCACTTATCATTTCCACCCTACGAGTACCTACCTACTATGACTATGGGACCTTAAATAATTCTACTGGAGACGATTTTACTATAGAAAATAAAAGTCAAATGTGATGTCGAGATGACTTTACAAGTACGTACACATACATCATTATCTTAATATTACACATTTATGTATTTACAGGTTATCGATGAATCGTTTTTTGATCTTATTGATCCAAAGACAGGAACTGTCTCTGAAACACTTCAATCAATTAAGCAGAATAAAATTGCCCCCTGGGGATCTGACGTAAGTTTTCTACACTAAAATCACATTATTAGTTTTTTTTTATGTGATAGGAGGCAAACGAGCAGACTGATCACCTGATTAGTTGTCCAATACTGAACCGTCCCAGCTATGACATAGACAGGAGGGTGCTACTATCGTCTGGGTTATTAGTTCCGATTTTTACCACGTTAGACAAATTAAAGTGTTCTACAGGTTGTTGATTTTAACCCTCGCCACATTTAGTTAAATAAGTAGCTTATTCTGATCACGAATCAGTAAAAAAATGGACTTTCAAAAAAAATTAAAACGAACTTTAATTTTAGTTCGTTCGTTTCAGCCGAAAGACGTCCACTGCTGGACAAATTTTAGTTAGTCAAAGAAAAATAACCATTTACACTACCTACTTTACGTGGCTTCCTTCAGTAGGCTATTCGACATGATAAGCGAGGGAGACGCGTAGCTCGATGGTATTGCAGTATTGCGAGCCACAGTACAGTTGATGTCGCACGGAAAATATTCGCTAAAAAATCCACTTTCGTTTGTTTTTTTTTTGTGTGGAATATGCGTTTGTAAGTCATAATAGATCACCTAAATAAATATGGCGAGAATTGAAATCAACACCCTGTATATGGCTGTAGTACTCCCAAATCTTCTGTACTCTTCGGAGACATGCGTTCTGTACCGAAAGCATAATTATCCGTACGCTAGACAAGTTTTACCTCAAATGCTTGCGAGGCATTTTGAACATCTAATGGCCAGATCGAGTAAGAAATACTCAGGTACTACGACGGGCAAATGTTTGCGGCATTGAGGCGTACTTGATGCGTCGACAACTTCGTTGGTTCGGTCACGTCTGACGTATGGCTGACAACATGGTCGCCAAACGCATTTTCTTTTTTGAACTCCAAGACGGCAAGCGGAAACAAGGCGGCCAGTTCTTACGTTTTAAGGATGTTCAGAAAAGACATACAAAGCGATGCGATATTAACTAAATTGGGAAGAAACTGCTAGCCATCGTCTTGAGTGGAGGCGCCTGGTATAGTAAAAAGTTTACGACTATGAAGAGCAGCGGAAATCTGTTTTGTATTCAAATCGCGATGCTCTTAAAGCCAGACCACAAGCGGCTATCATTTACACCTACATCAATGGTGTCCTAACGTGTAGTCATTGTTCGCGCACGTTTCCTAACAAGATTGGCTTTTGTAACCATATTAGGGCACATGATAGGGCAACACAGCGTAGCCTTCTTACTGCGGACTAGAAGGAATTTGTGGCAGTTACCGTAGTCGAAAGCGGCTTGGGAGGAGTAGTAGTAGTATTTTATGTTTTTATTTTTGTTATAAAGCCTGTGACGCGTGTACTGCCAGAGCCAGATATTAATGGCGAAAATTCATCGCAAGTTGCCAAAGTAAGGCTACAAGGTATGTTACCAGTTCAATTCAATATGTGGGCTTATGTATCCGATTATACAGAACAATCCGGAATTCTATACAATACCTAGGCAATGTATGTATGTTACCGGCAATGTGTATGATTCAGGTATTCTATACAATGCGGGGATATTTTACTACAAGTATTAATTTACGTAAAAGAATTTCTCGATCGAATATACACTCGCGAGCAAAAGTATGGAATCACTTACATGAAGTTGTTTCCACGCGATCTTGTGTACTAACGAATTTATTAGTAACAAAAAAAGTGGCACCATTTTAAAGATTAAACTTTTAACTTTAAATTGATACCAAATTCATTTAAATCACCAGTATTTAAAAAGATATCCCGGCTGATGTGAAGAAGTAATGAAAAAGACATGTATCAACTTTTGATACGTCGCGAGTTGCGGCCTATTTACCCCCTATAAAAACACGTGTTCTCGGATTTTTGCTTTCACGTTGATTCATACACATCTCCGCTTCTTTTGACACTTTACCTTGGATTCTACACCTACAGAAGCAGCACAAATCGTTGCACGATTGCAAGAAAGGCTCAGCCAGCGGGCTGTCGCATGTCAGCTCCACATAAGCCAGTCCTGGGTTTCGAAAGTTTTAAGACGCTTTCAGGAGACTGGTGGCGTTATCCCGAGACAAAGTTCTGAACAGCGCCGGTGCACATCGCAGAGGGATGACCATTTTTTCATATCAACCTCTCTATGAAATCGTCATTTGACTGGTATCGACGTCCAGAAAGAGCTCAGAAATGTTCGTAGGATAGTTGTTAGCGAGTGGACAGTTCGTCTAAGATATAAGCAATAGAATTTGACTCCAAAAAGGCCTGCCACAGGCTCGAAACTGACGGCAGGTCACCGACAAGCACGCTTTCCCTGCTACCGTCTTCTATACAATACCTAGGCAATGTATAGAATGCCTAAAAGGCTCAGGTAATCTTTCATTTATTTTATATATTAATAATTTTATACTTTGCCTAGGTACTCTATAGAATGTCGGATCATACCTACACATCGCCGGTAACATTTACATATAACCATTTTATAATAGCCTGCTAATGCTTCGCTTCGCTGTATGATAAATTAACGATGATGGCATGTACATATTAGAATGCTTTCTTTAGTAATATGTTACGCAAATGGGAACGCCGCGAGCTCTAAGTGTAAATTCCGTGATTTTATTATTTTCATGATGAAAAATTTGTTCACAATGGACAACACGCATAAGTTGTAATATTAAGTTAAATTATGACTTAATTTAAAGTTTAGATCACACACATTACATTAGTTTTTATTTCACCTCAATCCGTCCAGTATTACCGAAGATAGAGCCTCGAGAAGTTTACGGACTTTTTAAAATTTTCAAAAATTTCCAATTCGCGCGTGACGTCACAACATGATTTTGCAGCCCCCGTACGTTAACCCATTTGCCACTTTTTGTCTTTTTNCTCGAGTGTCATAGTAACTTATTAGACTGCTAAGCTTGATGATAAAAAGAAAAATATTTTATTCCATGTCATAGTCATATGTCATAGTAAATATTTTATGACATAGTCTGGTCATAAGTTCTGTCATATGATAATAACTTTTGAAATTTAAATGAAGGTTTCAAAAACATTTTTTACTGAATTAGAATTAAAAAGAAAAAATGTGCGATAGTTCGAATTTTATTTTATGTGTAGTGGGCGCATAAAGAAGTCCGAACTGTAGTTGTCACGTTGCATTGCTACGCGCCAAATCAGATTTTCGTTGTGCTGAAAAAATTTAGTTTATCTTTTCATTAAATGAATTGATAGGTATAGGTGTACCAGAATCTCATGGCAAACAAAAATATTAGAAAAGTGTGTCTTTCATATGGCAAATGTCTATGGCTTTATTGTTACCTGTCAACGTAAATCAAGTGAACTGTCAGTCGCTGCAGAAATTTTGTAATCTCTTCATGCCTATTTGTTATTTTTGTGAAAAAGTCGAAAAAGCTCAAGCAAGTCATATTATTATTGTTTTCAATGTGTATTGTAAAATAAGGCATAATTCAAAGTCAATCTTTGATTTTAAAGCGCGTCGTTGAGTTGACAGTAAGTTGGAATGAAATTGGATACATTTAGTTTATTACCTAACTGCGTCAGAAGGAGGGTTTTTTAAATATTATTCTTATAATAGCTGCTAGGGTTTCAGGTGTACCTCACAAATTGGTGCAGAGGAATGGTGAAAATGTTATGACCATGTAAATAAAATTGAAAAAGATTTCATCAAGTAAGGTGTAAGATAGAATAATTGAAATGGTGGAAGAGCAATTTATGATAAATAACTATTTATCTTGATCATCTATTGAAGAAAAGTGGAATCCTTGGAATCGTTTTCTAGTTCTGAATGAAGTGATTAGTTATAAGTATGATACATAATAAAATTAGTTACATAAAGTAATATACGATTTACTTTTTTTTCAAGTCATTTTCCTATTATATTACTGACGGGATTGCTACCATGTACCTTAGTTTTGAGTTTCCAATATTTCGGCATTGTTGCAAGCGCCATGGTCACGGAGTAACTGAAGAAATTAAAACCAGACATCGTTCAGATGTGCGTTCAAAAGACCTGAGATTTTAAAAAATCCCACGTTTTGTTTAAACAGTGAGCGAAAAAAAAGTGACTTGAAAATGGAATACAAAATGATAAGGTATGGTAAATAATAAGTCTTTATCAATGAAGAAGCAGAAGTTCAATTTCATGTGACCTCCATCTAGGCTAGTTTCCATCGTCACTCAAAGTTTGGCTGCGGTCTCAAATTTGGGCTTAATTGAGGTATTTTTTGGGTGAGAGGCATAAGAACTAATGCCGTTTTATACCAAAAAATCATACTTAGAGGTAATCAACCAGGTACAAAGTATTTCCTTGTATGTTAGTCTGCCACTCTTTAGTAAGTCCCGAAATCACCGCTTTGGCTCCCCTACTAACCATTCTAACCATTGTACACAGATAATATCTTACATGCAGCTTTTCATGTTACTACGTCACATTTTCTAAATCCGCGCGGAAAATCGCTCCTAGCGGAAGAGCGCACTTTGAACTTGAATATTTCTGTCATTTTTAAAGATATCAAAAAAGTAAAAATACAGTATTCATTCTAATTTTTTGTAGTTTTTTTTGGCATCTTCAACAAAAATTGTGCGCCATGTCCATTCACAGTTCACAATAAAATTCTTTAAACATCTACACTAATATTATAAAGAGGAAAACTTTGTTTGTTTGTTTGGTTGTAATGAATAGGCTCAAAAACTACTGGACCGTTTTTAAAAATTCTTTCACCATTCGAAAGCTACATTACTCACGAGTAACATAGGCTACATTTTATTTTGGAAAAAAATATGAAGTCCACGTGGGCGAAGCCTCGGGCGGAAAGCTAGTAAGTTATAAAATTATTAACCAATTAACCGATTTTATTCGTATTTTAGGGGGTTCAGTCGTGGATCCTGACTTTGAGCTGGCTGGTTTCGCTCAAATTTATAAAGACGAAGACGACACTGCGTATACTGTGGTCTTGGCTAAGACAGATGTGGTAGCGGGGCAAAACGAAAAACTCCTTCTATAAATTGCAGATACTGGAGTGCAATACAGAAAATAGAGAACAGGAAAAAGAGTAAGTGTTATAACATCACAATTTAAATTCCTTGGCGGGAAAGTAACTCGGCATGTTTAGCGGTTTTATTATTATTTTCTAAAATTTGTGTATACTCATATAGACAATACCAATCAATGTTTATTAATGGCGGATTATGTCTAGTTATAAAAAACTAGCGGTTCCTGCATCTATTAGGAGTGCAGTATCTTTTGAGGGGCAATAATGTTTTACATCCTGTGGGATTAGGTAGGATGTGTTTGCCCAGGTGTAAGCTACGCTTGCGTACTTGGCCGGTTGTATTTGCGTATTTCAATCAAATACATTTAAAGCAACAACTGTTAATGTGTTGCGTATATTCAAACTTTATTGTATTACTTAAACTTCATAGGTATTACCTGTATCGTGCGTGGGGCAGGATTGGAACGGATCAAAAAGAAACGAAGTACGATTCCAAGCCTATAGATGTTGCTTTAATGGAGTTTAAAGAAATATTCAAGAAGAAAACTAAAAACCTGTGGGATGAACGCAAGAAATTCAAGAAGGTAGGCATTATTAAAGAATTATGCAGGGTTATAATATGATGTGGGTGTGTTAGAAAACGGGTACCTACATACATACATATTTTCTTTATATGGTGCTATTCTGAAGCAAAATATATTTCTCCATTTTTTTCAAAACGTGTCCTGGATCATAAACTAAAAATCAAGTTATGCCCGAAGACGTTTTTATTATTTCCAATTTTGTTTTTCAGCATCCAAACTTCTACAGCGTCGTTAAAACTGACCATAAAACCGAAAAAATTGATGGTGTCATTCCCACACAAGATGAAATTTCTTCTCTGCCCGAGCCAGTTCAGCAACTGGTACTGATGATATTTGATATAAATACTATGAAAAATGTCTGCCTGGAGTATGAGGTAAGCATTATTAGACTGGACAAATAGTTTTACGCTTGCTGTCATTTTCGCTGCTGAAAACCATGGGCCATGGTAGATAGATAGAAGAACACACTTTATTGTACACGACACAAGACATATAAGAAAGAGAAAGAAATATACAAAAAACATGGTATAATATAGGCGGTCTTATCTCTGTAAAACGATCTTTTCCAGACAACCTAGACTACGGAATTTAATTTTTATTATTTAATTAATTTATTTAATTAATAATACATGAGTCAAATGACTATTACTATCCAAGCAAAACCTCGGACAGACAGACAGACATATCGAAACTATAAGGGTTCCTTGTCAGGACTACGGAACCCTAAAAACGAATCAATTTGAACTTTATTGCTATCCAACTTCAATAAAGTTCATGAAAAACTGCCACATTCCAAATATTTTTGACAGAACGAAGTCTGTCGGGTCGGGTCCGCTAGCTCTATAATATAAAAATGAATCGCAAAATGTGTTGGTAAGCGCATAACTCAACAACGCCTGGACCAATTTTACCAATTCTTTTTTTTAAATGTTTGTTGAAGTCCAAGGATGGTTTTTACAGCGAGAAAAGTTTGAATAATTTCCGGGTAAACTCTAAAAAACTCGAAACTTCACCCCTAAGGGTAAAACGGGGTCTACGCGTACGAAGTCGCGGGCGGCCGCTAGTACTTAATAAATACGAACGTAATATTAAAATATGTTAAGTATTCCATTCATAACACTTCATTAGTTTTTTCCTATCTTATTCAACCTTAACTAACACACATTTAATGTTTTTAGCTTGACTTAGAAAAAATGCCACTAGGAAAACTGTCAAAGGACCAAATAAAATCGGGATATGAAGTACTGTCGAAATTGAATGAGTACGTTGAACAAGGAGGGATTAATCAGACTAAAGTATTGGCTGCTACAAACAGGTTAAGCTCAAGTTTATACTAATAAAACAGTACTAACTTAAATTTAAAAAAACAATAACATTCATTGTAATTTTATTGTAAGTAATAAATTGTCAGGATAATATTTACAGTTATATCATTGTTAGGTCATATAGCTAACTATGTATGTTTACAGATTCTTCACATTGATTCCTCATAACTGTGGATCAAATAATCCACCACTGCTGGATAATTTAGAGTTGATTAAAAAGAAAATGGAAATGTTGGACAACTTATTAGAAATACAAGTAGCTTACAGTTTGGTACATACAAAAGGTGGGTAGATATTTGGAATAATATGTTCAAATAAACTACTTCATACATTAACAATAGTATTTGTTTCTATTTTATGTCCAGGGAGACGAATCAGAACTTTATGACAATAAAAGGTTTGTCATTTGTGAAATGAGCTGATGTTAAAAAAATCATAAGTAATTATATTATTATAATACTTTGTCGAAGTGGCACTAAATTAAGACCTTTACTATCTATGAAGCTAAAAATATGATACTGCAACTTATGAGAATTTATAATACTATAAATATGAGGTACCTACTTGTCATTACTCTGAATGCTTAAAATCACATGAACTTTACGCTTTAAAATTGTTTTAAACACATGTTTGATGATTTCCTGGAAATTTTCACTAATCTTTGTATGAATTTTGACTGATTGGAAAAATTGAAAATCAGGCGAAACCACTATGGACTGATTTTTGCAGTCAATAGTATTGACCGATTATGACTTTTGACTGTAACATTACAACCTCTAAATTGTAACTTCTTCGGAAATTTCAGAGTCGAGTGAAAGCCAAATAGACGTCCACTACAGAAGGTTAAATGCTGATATTGGTCCAATCGACCGCGCGTCGCCTGAGTTCGAAATGATCGCTACCTACGTGGCTAACACACACGCTAGCACGCATCATATGAAGCTTGAAATCCAGCACGTAAGTACTATTTATCTTTAACCCCTAAGCCTTGTTCGCCCCAGTCGAGTGCCGAGTAATTTAGTAGCTAAACGTGTCGGAACACCAAAAATTTAGTCGAGTAGGTTACTAAATCGTTTGTTCAGCCAGTCCATTTTGTTCTATTTTAACTGGCGAGTACAAGCCCCCACCACGCATCCCTTCTAACTCGCTCACCGATTAAACGAGTCCGAACCGGGCGGTTCGGACTAAATACTTGTAAACTGTACTCGACGAAGGCTTTAGTGTCACTGCGCATTAGGCGGCCGGTCGATGCGACCTACGAAATATGTATATGTTTGGTAAAACGTGGTATATGAATAGTTGACTTTATATACTGACTTTTGAAACTGGACCTACCACAAACAGTCAACAGTCTTATCCATGTATTGTTACAGGTGTTTGAAGTGTTCCGTACAGCCGAAGATGAGCGCTACGAGAAGTTCAAGAACTTACACAACCGTCGTCTGCTATGGCACGGCTCGCGCATATTCAACTATGCGGGCATCCTTTCACAAGGTACGCGTACGTTTTCAGGGGGCTACCGTTTGCCCGCGTATCCACTAGAAGCTGCCTCGTCCCGAGCGACACAATACAGGGTGGAAACGATAAGTGATCTCACTCGATTATTTCTAAACTATACAACATATCGAAAAACTGGTTACTGATCCTGAAAGTGCTTCACAAGATCTATCCAACGGTACCAATAATAGGTTACAAAATACACTGGATCTATCCGAAAATTCAATGTTTCCAGCTTCCATACATTTAGTACTGCCACAGTCATGGCACTCATGTCTTGATAATATTATAGCAAGTAAAGCCTAAAACCCATGTTTTCCATGAATAATTTTAAATAAGAATGCAATTTACGAGTTCAATTTAAGTGTTTATTATTTAATAAAAAAAAAATAACACTTCTAATATTGTGTGGCTGGCATACATCTAGTATGGAGGCTGAAAACATTGAATTTTCGGATAGATCCAGTTAATTTTGTAACCTATTACTGATGCCGTTAGAAAGAGCTCGTGAAGCACTTTCAGGATCAGTAACCAGTTTTTCGATATCTTGTGTAGTTTAGAAATAATCGAGTGAGATCACTTATCGTTTCCACCCTGTATAGCTCGGCCGCGGCGACGAATTTGCCTCAGAGGGCTTAGTGTGAGTTTACATCAGACGTCTTCACTAATGACTGCGTAAAAAAGTGACATTAAATGTATGACGGATTGTACAGCACCCCTAGCGGAAACTTTCAAGAACTAAAATTTTCATATATATTTTTAAAGCAGTCGATGTCGTCGAATGCGTTTGATGACTCACACTACGCCCACAGGACGCATTTGCTCTGCCTCGGGACGAGGCAGCCGCTCGGCCTAAGGATGTCTTTAGTGGATACGCATACTATTAGCTATCACTGGTACCACTAAAAAGAGTAACAAGACTGTAGTCACTAGTGGTGCCAACCTTGTAAAGTCAATCCTATTGTATTTGTGTCAACTGGTGAGCGAAAATACGATGCGCAGGATTGCTCTTATAAGGTTGGCGCCACTGGCTCTCATTCATGTAATCAGTGCTTAATAGAAAAATACTTAAGTGTTTATTTAAATGAATAAATATATAAATTTTTATTTTCCATAAAGAGACATATTTTTGACAAAATAATGTAAGCTATGCAGTAGATACTAACCTATTTAAATATTTGCCAGTGAGACCCAAACTAAGCAGTATAGCTTGTATCTTGGGTTTCAGAGTGCAGTTATCAAAACGTGACTTACTTTATGGGTATGTATAAAGTACGGCCAACTAGCAGCGATACAAAAGGTCGATTCGACTGTCGAACTGACAATCTATTCTGTCTCTTCCCATCTTGTGTATTTGTCGTAATGTCTCGTTCTCTCGCCAAAATATGTCAGTCAAAACCCTGCTATTCCAAATGACCATGACATTAGGTTTGTTTACATTTGGTATCGCTTCTCGTTGGCCGTATTTTATGGTGTTTTACTTTCTTTTACTCTAATACTTACTTATGTTTCTTTTTTATCTTCGTCAACACTAGGTTTGCGCATCGCGCCGTCCGAGGCGCCGGTCACTGGATGGATGTTTGGCAAAGGGATCTACTTCGCGGACATGGTAACTAAGTCCGCCAACTACTGCCATCCTGACTCGGCCACACCCATTGTTCTGCTGATGCTTTGCGAGGTCGCACTCGGGAACATGTCAGTATATTTGCAAGACAATTTTAATCTTTTCACACAAAGTTTTAAGAGTAGCCGCACACCGTTGATTTTTAGTTGGCCGATAGTTGTGCCCGATTTTAAATTGTATGAAGAATCGGCCAAATCGAATCGGCGTAGTGTGCGCACTCCCATACATGCCCATACTGATCAACTGCCCGACTAAACTATCGGCCGACGAAAAATCAACGGTGTGCGCCTACTCTAACAGAGGAGGCAAACAGATTAATATCGACCACAAAACTCAAGGGATTTACTGATCTTGTAATACTTTCAATTGAATAAATATTTATTTTTTAATTTTATTATAAATCAATCATCATCTCAGCCATAGGACGTCCACTGTTGAACATAGGCCTCCCCCAATGCTTTCCATGTTGCCCGGTTGGTAGCGGTTGAGTTAGTTATAATCAATACTGCGTGGCTACTTTCGATGGGCATACCTATAGGTCCATGGGGGGATTTCTGGTAAATGTGCTCTCACACGACAACTTTATGTAAAATTGCTTCCATTTTAATCCTGGAAATCTCCAACGGCAAAAATCTATTTGTTAAACCTCGGAATTTATGTATGCTGCTTTATGATTTATACACCACTACATTTTTATCACCGAAAAAATTTTAACAGGTTATGTAGAAACGTGTGAAAAATTTAAAGCGAAAGAAAAAAAAATGTTTTTCATAAAGTTATTTTTTTTATTAAATTTTCTTTAGTCTGTATTTTACGCGTCACAGCTTTGTCACTCCGCTGCTCGCTAGAGTAGTCGTACGCGCTCGCACATTGCCCCGATCTGTCGGTCTCGCTCACGCCTCGACCACGCTTCCAGTGTTATTATTACATACTAACTAACTACTACCACTACTACTAGACCATTTTGAATTCTAATAAGTGTTACATTATCTTACATAAATAGTGCTAGCGACGTGTGTGTCCATAAATTACCAATTTTAGGATGAAATTTTGAGTCACTTTATTTAACTTTTTTTTTGCAAAAATGGGATCAGTATCAATAACTCATTACCTAGAATTTAATTTTCGGTGATAAAAATTTAGTGGTGTATTATTGCATCTTTTCGTGTAGGAAGGAGTGTACTGCTGCCGAATATGTGGATAGGCTTCCGAAAGGCTTCCACTCTGTATGGGGGCGGGGCCGCTTCGAGCCCGACCCGGCGCAGGCGCGCACGTTGCCTGACACCACAATGGTCCCGCTGGGACGCCCCATCCGTCGAGAAATAACCACTGACTTGCTGTACAACGAGTAAGCATACTTTTTTCGGCACAACTTTTTTTAAAAAAAATTTATGCTAGACAAGGCAGGTATTTGACCGCACCCCACCACTTGAGGAGGGTAAGCGGAAACATGGCGGTCAACTCCTCAGGTACAAAGATGTAGGTACAGAAGCGGCACATGAAAAGATGCAACATTGAGCCCTCTCAGCGGGAAGGTTTGGCAGCACAGCGTCCAGAATGGCGGGAGATTGTGAAAAGGCAAGTCCACGAGTTCGAGGTGCAGCGTACGACTGAACTCGACGCGAAGCGCGATGACTTGAAGG